GAACGGGTAAAAAAAGAAACAATCTCGCTTATGCCAGTTGGTTCTTTCTTCTTCTTCTTTTCAGCCAAATGACGTCCACTGCTGGACAAAGGCCTCCCCCAAGGTTTTCCACAATGAACGGTCCTGCGCTGCCCGCATCCAGGCTCTTCCCGCGACCTTTACCAGATCGTCGGTCCACCTAGTAGGAGGCCTGCCCACGCTACGTCTTCCAGCCCGTGGTCGCCACTCGAGAACTTTCCTGCCCCAACGGCCATCGTCTCTACGAGCTATGTGCCCCGCCCACTGCCACTTGATTTTAGCAATTCTGCGAGCTATGTCGGTTACTTTGGTTCTCCTGCGGATCTCCTCATTTCTGATTCGATCACGCAGGGAAACCCCGAGCATAGCCCGCTCCATCGCCCTTTGGGTGACCTTGAGCCTTCTTATGAGGCCCATAGTAAGCGACCACGTCTCAGATCCTTATCCGACGCCAGTTGGTTATCCTTCTTTTATACCAAATCAATTTCGGTTTATAATACATACTTGCTTCGCCCGCGTGGAATTTTTCGGTTTTTTATATAACCACACACTCAGCAATAATGTTGCTTTCTATTGGTGAAAGAATTTTTAAAATCGGTTTAGTAGATCCCGAGATTACCCTTTATTACCCTTTACAATTTAACAAATATACTAACACACAAACTTTACCTCTTTATATTAATAGTATAGACCAGTATTATGGCCGTATGGTTTATGGCATGATCCTTGCAGAACGAGTAAAAAAAAGAAATAACTCGCTTATAGCAGGTGACCATCTTTCTTTAGGTATATTTATAAAATAAACAAACAATTCGGTTCGGTTTTTTATGTTATCAATTGAAGATTATTTTTAAATACGAGGGCGGCACTGAAAATTTCGGGAATCAAGGAAGTGAAACAACATTACTATTTAAAAATGTATTTATTGCTTTTCAAAGTATTCTCTGCGAAATTTGACACATTTTTCCATACACGAAACCAATCATTGAAGCAACCATTGCATTCGGAAGTTTGGGTCTCCAAAATGGCCGTTTTGTAGGCCTCCCACAGCTTCTTCAGGTGATGAAAATCTCTGACCACGCAATTTATTCTTTATTTTAGGGAAAGTATAGAAATCATTAGGGCTTAGGTCGGGGCTGTACGGCGGATGGACTAATAATTCTATGTTTTCTTGCTCTAAAAACTCTTTTGTTCAGTGCGCGGTGTGAGAACTCGCATTGTCGTGATAGAGGATGATGCGGCGGTTGCAGTTCTCTTTACGGAGTTCAGAAACGACCTGTGGCAAACAAATGCTAGCATACTAATCTGCATTAACCGTTCTTTGTCCCCCAAGAGGAATAGTCGCAACATGGCCGGTTTTGGAGACAAACGTGGCCACCATTTTTTTTGCAACACTCCGTGAACGAACTATTTTTGTTGGCTTTAATTCATTTTCGAACACCCAAACTCGTGACTGGTTTTTTTTTACGGTCCTGCGCTGCCCGCATCCAGGCTCTTCCCGCGACCTTTACCAGATCGTCGGTCCACCTAGTAGGAGGCCTGCCCACGCTACGTCTTCCAGCCCGTGGTCGCCACTCGAGAACTTTCCTGCCCCAACGGCCATCGTCTCTACGAGCTATGTGCCCCGCCCACTGCCACTTGATTTTAGCAATTCTGCGAGCTATGTCGGTTACTTTGGTTCTCCTGCGGATCTCCTCATTTCTGATTCGATCACGCAGGGAAACCCCGAGCATAGCCCGCTCCATCGCCCTTTGGGTGACCTTGAGCCTTCTTATGAGGCCCATAGTAAACGACCACGTCTCAGATCCTTATCCGACGCCAGTTGGTTATCCTTCTTTTATACCAAATCAATTTCGGTTTATAATACATACTTGCTTCGCCCGCGTGGAATTTTTCGGTTTTTTATATAACCACACACTCAGCAATAATGTTGCTTTCTATTGGTGAAAGAATTTTTAAAATCGGTTTAGTAGATCCCGAGATTACCCTTTATTACCCTTTACAATTTAACAAATATACTAACACACAAACTTTACCTCTTTATATTAATAGTATAGACCAGTATTATGGCCGTATGGTTTATGGCATGATCCTTGCAGAACGAGTAAAAAAAAGAAATAACTCGCTTATAGCAGGTGACCATCTTTCTTTAGGTATATTTATAAAATAAACAAACAATTCGGTTCGGTTTTTTATGTTATCAATTGAAGATTATTTTTAAATACGAGGGCGGCACTGAAAATTTCGGGAATCAAGGAAGTGAAACAACATTACTATTTAAAAATGTATTTATTGCTTTTCAAAGTATTCTCTGCGAAATTTGACACATTTTTCCATACACGAAACCAATCATTGAAGCAACCATTGCATTCGGAAGTTTGGGTCTCCAAAATGGCCGTTTTGTAGGCCTCCCACAGCTTCTTCAGGTGATGAAAATCTCTGACCACGCAATTTATTCTTTATTTTAGGGAAAGTATAGAAATCATTAGGGCTTAGGTCGGGGCTGTACGGCGGATGGACTAATAATTCTATGTTTTCTTGCTCTAAAAACTCTTTTGTTCAGTGCGCGGTGTGAGAACTCGCATTGTCGTGATAGAGGATGATGCGGCGGTTGCAGTTCTCTTTACGGAGTTCAGAAACGACCTGTGGCAAACAAATGCTAGCATACTAATCTGCAAGCGATAAATTGTGGTTTTGGATGGGGCTTCATTACCAAATGCAGAAATCATCCGGTCAACACACTGTTTTTGTGTTAAACCACTTCAAAAGTCATAATAAATCATCGCTCTTGAATTTTCTCGAGTCAATTCCATTTTCTCAACGACTAAACAAGTTTGACAAGACCTTGTGATACGACCGAGAATCTTTTTTTAAATAAATAAATGGTATACGATTTTTAAAACCCTGGAGTTTGCAATTAAATAGATTTTAATATGACTGGAACAGTGGAAATATTACATTCCCGATACTTTTAGTGCAGCCCTCGTACATTTGTATTCTTCACTGATCGCGATCGCGTCGCGTGATTGCGTGTCACAATAAACTTTTCTTTAAATCTCAATTCACTATTATTCTCACCGACCGATCGCAGATCTTAATTGAGATTATGAATCAACTCGTCTGTCTGTATATCATTCAAGAAACAATAACAAAGAACAGACGCGGTTGATTCCCATGAAACATATAAATAGTTTTATTTATACCAAACGAATGCTGGGTATGTGTGAATCAATTTGAGTACTGTTGAGTTTAATAATATTATGCTGTGTTAAGAAAACAAAAGCATGGTGAAGTAGATATTAAATAGCTTTTGCACAAGCAATTTTGTACTTGTTGAAAAATATTTGTAATCTGAGGTCTATGGTACGTCACTTTGGATAAAGACATTATTCTGTCTTAACCAAACAACAAACAGTCGCACATTTTGTTTAATTTTAGACACACATCTGTTACAGCTTCTTCCGTATTTCCACATGAGAACAGTCGTAAAATCCAAATTGTGTCATCACATTCACATAATCAAAAACTTAGCATCTTTAGTCATGTAAAATAGACATATTACTCATTTAAAATACATATTTTAGTAGACGACTTCAAATAAATCCAAAAAATATTTAATGCACAAGTTATTCAAAAACAATTCATAAAACGAACGTAATTTTTAATCAGACTGTATTTCGAACTTGTTTACAAAGATTTGAGGAAATCCTAATAGAATTCTAAAAAATGATAACGCGTTATTCCCCAAAGCCAGTTAGCTAAGTGGCCGGGCCCGAGCGAATTTTAAGAGCGGCTTATTTATTATTTAAAAGGATAAAGGGAGCCTTTTAGAACAGCTGTTTACACTCCTTTTATAAGTACAACAAGTTTTAAACATAAACTTTGTGCAACCTTTTTTGTTTACCGGATGTTTTTGGCTGGGATGGAATATTGGAATAATAAAGTGATTTTCTTGTTGTTGAACTACAATCTCTTTCTAGTAATACTACAGTTGGGATTAAAAGAAATAAACGTACAACTCAGGCGCGGATCCAGCCCTCAAAAAAGGTTGTGGGCACAGCCACCAAAAATTAGCAAAGTGAGAGTTGGATCACTACATGCCCGGACCACAGATAATATAATACTAGTCCCGGACATACATACATGCCTATCAATCCCAACTATCCCAACTAATATTATAAATGCGAAAGTAACTCTGTCTGTCTGTCTGTCTGTCTGTCTGTCTGTCTGTCTGTTACGCTTTCCCGCTTAAACCTCGCAACCGATTTTGATGAAATTTGGCATAGAGATAGTTTGAGTCCCGGGAAAGAACATAGGATAGTTTTTATCCCGGTTTTTGAAACAGGGACGCGCGCGATAAAGTTTTTCTGTGACAGACAAAATTCCACGCGGTCTGTCTGTCTGTCTGTCTGTTACGCTTTCCCGCTTAAACCTCGCAACCGATTTTGATGAAATTTGGCATAGAGATAGTTTGAGTCCCGGGAAAGAACATAGGATAGTTTTTATCCCGGTTTTTGAAACAGGGACGCGCGCGATAAAGTTTTTCTGTGACAGACAAAATTCCACGATCATAATTAAAACAAGCAAATTAGGGTTGTGGGCATGGCCACTGTGCCCACAACGGTGGATCCGCGCCTGGTACAACTCATATGTAAACAATTCTTAGCCTAGCCGCAGACCACAGTCTTTTGGTCGGCCGATAGTTGGGTCGTGCTGTTAATCAGTGTGGACATGTATGAAAGTGCGCACATTACATAGGCCGATTCTTCATACAAATTAAGCGAAAAGAATGTGGGCATATCCTTCACTAAAGTGGAGGAGGCCCATAGTCCAACAGTGGGCTGTAAAGGGCTGTTATTGATGATGATGAGTCTAGCAGCGGCGCCTCAGATCTCGATTCGGACACTCCGACATCGACACCCTTGGGCTATTGTATGATGATGATGACGATGAAACTTAATTCGTTGTTCTCTTGTCTCCAGGATCAGCAGTGGTGAGCGTGTGCATGCGACAATTCGACGACGCGATATCGATCACGGTCGCAATCATCATCGTGGTTACGGTGGCCTTCGTCCAGGAGTACCGATCGGAGAAGTCGCTTGAGGAGCTGAATAAATTGGTGCCGCCATCTTGCAACTGGTAAGCTTGGCTAGCGAATATAGAACAAACCCTAAAACTAATTAAACCGAGCAGAACAGTTTGCTTCCACTGGGAATTGAACGTTGGACCTATGGGTCTGTGACAGTCTTTACACTAGACCATAGAAAAGATTAATTTGAAAAAACCTCTGAACATCCACTCGTTTCAGCCAAATGACGTCCACTGCTAGACAAAGGCCTCCCCCAAGGATTTCCATAACGAACGATCCTGCGCTGCCCGCATCCAGGCTCTTCCCGCGACCTTCACCAGATCGTCGGTCCACCTAGTGGGAGGCCTGCCCTGCCCTGCTACGTCTTCCGGCCCACAGTTGCCACTCGAGAACTTTTCTGCCCCAACGGCCATCATCTCTACAAGCTATGTGCCCCGCCCCCTGCCACATGATTTTAGCAATTCTGCATGCAATATTGCACTACGAGTATATTCAAAGTCGCGATCAATTATTATTTGTCATTTTTGGTAATAATAATGCCCCAACCCAAATCCAATAACTCTTTCTGTACCTAAATTACTGTTGCTTACCACCAAAATCTCTTTTTCAGTCTCCGCGAAGGCAGCCTCGAACATTTCCTCGCCCGCAACCTCGTCCCAGGCGACATAGTCCATCTCAATGTCGGCGACAGAGTACCGGCGGACTTGCGACTATTCGACTCGACGGACCTTGCCATCGACGAGTCTTCGTTCACTGGGGAGACAGAACCGGCTGGCAAGAATGTGTTACCTAACAAGGCATCTGCTGGGAGAGTTAATAAGGACAACATCGCCTTTATGGGGACTTTAGTGCGATGCGGTAACGCTAAGGTTAGTTTATGTAGTCCTTTGTCACTATAGAGTAGTAAAGGAACGAATATAGTCGTGTCTTCGTTCACTGGGGAGACCGAACCGGCTGGGAAGAATGTGCTACCTAACAAGGCATCCGCTGGAAGGGTTAACAAGGATAACATCGCCTTTATGGGGACTTTAGTGCGATGCGGCAACGCTAAGGTTAGTTCTCCTAAATTCTTCAGTTATATCTTTGGGGACAGTAAAGGAACGAATATAGTTGAGTATTCGTTCACTGGGGAGACCGAACCGGCTAGGAAGAATGTGCTACCTAACAAAGCATCCGCTGGAAGGGTTAACAAGGATAACATCGCCTTTATGGGGACCTTAGTGCGATGCGGCACCTCCTAAATTCTTCAGTTATATGTTTGGGGACATCGAACACCTTCAATGTTTTTTGAGCAGTAATGCTGTAGATCTTTGCTACACAGAAGTTGCAGCGATGGGGACGGGAGGTAGAAATAGTTCCGTAACAGCGCCATAGCGTTTTACGAAAGAGGCCTTTGCAGCTTAGTCTACAGTTACTCATTCTATAATTTCCTAACCGGCACAACATCCATATCTACAGGGAATCGTAGTCAGCACCGGCGAGCGATCCGAGTTCGGCGACATTTTCCGCATGATGCAAGCGGAGGAGGCCCCCAAGACTCCCCTGCAGAAGTCCATGGACACCCTGGGCGCTCAACTGTCCATGTATTCCTTCTGCATCATCGGCTTCATCATGGTCACCGGCTGGCTGCAGGGAAAGGCTCTGCAGGACATGTTTACCATTGGCGTCAGTTTGGCTGTGGCTGCTATTCCTGAAGGTAAAACTGAACCCTTATTTTGACGTTATGAAGTTAGATTTCTTCGTATTGGCTTTTAAACTTAGAGATTTAAATAACAATCTAACTTTCCTTCGGGGCAAAGTTGGTCTTCACTAATTGAATTTGCAGAACACATTTATTTACCTTGTTATGTATCCATATGTGTCGGAGAGCTGATTAATGAAGGCGACATCTTTGCAAAAGTAGTGTACAGGACGCTCAGTTCTGCAAAAGACGATCTAATAGTTGGTAGTGATGGGATGGACGTCGTTACGTTAGCAGTTGACTGATTTTATATTTTCCGGGTTCGAACTGCCCATCGACAAACCATATTGTGTGTGCAGGAGATATTAGCTAAGTGTAAAAATATGTTTATCTTAGCCTCAAAAGTTTAATTCAGGTTTATCGAAAAGAAGTGTATTCTCGAAACTAACCTCACAATCATTAACTCCTCAGGTCTCCCGATCGTGGTGACGGTGACATTGGCTCTCGGCGTGATGCGGATGGCGAAACGAAACGCCATTGTGAAAAAACTGCCAACTGTGGAAACTTTGGGCTGCGTCAACGTCATTTGCAGCGACAAGACTGGTGAGTTTGGATGATGACAACCGTCTTTAGATTAAAGACAGTAGTTTTGTAAGACTCATTTAGACAAATATTGATAAAATAAATAGCGTTTTGGCTAAAAGTAAAAAGACGTCATCGGTATAAGAATAGCAATTTGAAAATGTGCTTGTGTAGGTGTAAGGTCGGCTCACCACTTCACCGACAGCAAAATTTTAGTCCAGAGCGATCGATGGGGATCGAATTACTGACGACGACCGTTAGAACTGGCAATCTGGTGCCGATACGTTTCAGCTATTGTCACTTTTAATTAACTGTTATTCGAGTTTATTACATGGTCGTAAATAGAAAATGTTGTCCCATATTTCTAACATCGTATACATAGTTTCTTTTTCTATTGACTATCCTTACCAAATGCTGAAATAAACTCAAGATCTTGCAAGCAGCACAAGACCGCTCTTGGTAGAAATGTTTGAGCTTTTCCTTTGTCCAGCAATCTTCATTTGCTGAAACAAATTATTACCGTTTTCTCCCTCAGGAACTCTAACTAAGAACGAGATGACTGTGACGACGATATCTACCTCCGGCGGCCATATTGCCGAAGTGACGGGCGCGGGCTACAACGCACGCGGTGACGTGCAATTGCGCGCTTATAAAGGGCGAGACCTGGATGTCGCGCGTATGGGAGTTCATACTATGCTCGAGGTATGACTATTTTATTTTATTACCTGATACATGACTTCTCAGGACGTATGACGTCATAGAAAGTGTGACGTCATGGTGCGGGCTACAACATATAACGGGCGAGACCTGGATTTGGCACGTACCTCTCAACGCTACACCCTCGCAAACGCTCGCACCTCAAACTCTCGCAGGAAGCGGGCATAAGAGCAGAGACCTCGACGCTGAACCATATTGGAAGTATGACCAGGCCTGTTCATCTCCGCGAGTTTACATCGAAAACAAAACACGCACGATGGCCTACCTACAGGATACTGTTCGACAAGGCCTCACATACGAGCGAACATTGACTCACGCACGCGTATTCTTGTGTATGATGGAAGAAAATAAAGAAAATGGTGTACTAAATACTGTGCAGTATTTAACTGCCTAAATAATAATAACACAGAATGTACTTTTTTAAGTTGCCTCAAGACACTGAGAGGTAAATAAGTAGTGTTAATTATGAAAAATCTAAAACGTTAAAATAACGGTATCGTTGTGGCCAATGAGATGCTGTCATAGTTTGACGTATTGTCAATGTCACACTAGGATCAAACGTCGGAATAGAGGGACGCGCGGAGACGACTCCGCGCGCTTTTGTGCGAAGTGATGAATTATATCTAAAATAAGGTAATATACTGTGAAAGTTAAGTATCCAGTGTTTTATTTATGAGAATAGATCTACCGGCCTCTAATAGTAGTTAATATTATTCATGATAATTCATGCTAAATCATGTATTTCCTCCGCCATTTTCCGCAGTTTGGTACCTCACGTCACATTATTTTACCGAAGTCAGCCCTATAGCTTCGGCGCAGTGCCGATCACTGACGTTTGTCAACAAAATGGTGCTTGACTCTTGAGACATGCCAAATTACACCATATTGTTAGTAACATTGTGCATACATTTTTTAAATACCTTCGCGAAGTAAAACCTCTGTACGTAGTACTTATTATTATTCTGTGGTATATCGAAATACGCGTGACATCATAGCGGGGGCGCAGGTGTAAGAAGACACCATCTTTGCTACAGGTGTGACGTCACATGAGATACCACATAACCCACACTTGCGTCGCCGGACACGGGTAAAAGCGGCCATAATGTTAGTGGAAATATGACGTCACAACCGCCACCTTATTGAAGTCCAGCCAATTCTTCATTTTAGTTACCAAAAACAATATTAAGTAAAAAAATAATCCTGAGGCGACGTAAAGTTACAATCCTTGGTGAAGTTACAAACATCAAACCTTTATTTTAACCCTAGGTGAGCGTTATCTGCAACAACTCATAAACTATCTTATTTTTTTAGGTCGGCGTTCTCTGTAACAACGCGATCATTCGCGACGAGACGTTATACGGGCAGCCTACAGAGGGAGCTATACTGGCGTGTGCTCTGAAGAACGGTATGGAAGACATCAGGGAACAATACACCAGGCTGCATGAGATCCCGTTTAGGTAAGAAAGTAATTTGTCCCTTCGTTTCAGCCAAATGTTTTCCTGGATAAAGGCCTCCCCCAAGGATTTTCACAACAACCGGTCTTGCGCTGACCGCATCTAGGTGTTTCCTGCGACCTTCGCCCGATCGTCGGTTCACCTAGTAGGAAGCCTGCCCACGACGTCCTCCAGCCCGTGGTCGCCACTCGAGAACTTTTCTGCCCCAACGGCCATCGTCTCTGCGAGCTATGTGCCACTTGACGAAGAAAGTGGTTATAAAATGGAAGTTTTCCATGGTTTCGGCAGAGTTGAATAGAAAACTCTTCCCGTGGATGTCGTGAGAGGCGAGTGAATATTATGCGTCACCAACCCGTATGGCCAGCATTGGGAGTATAGTGTTGTTGCTTCAAAGATAGCAGAAAAAACGTGCCGGAGTCAAATACTGCACTGACTTTATTTCATGCTCCATACGAGAGTTCTTTTCAATACTCAAAACTTTAATATTTATTGTTATACACAACATAATATTGGACACTGTTGGATACACCCTTTTTTCTGAGAATCGCTGTGATATAAGGAAAATATATTTCTTATCCTAATGTTTCATTAAAATACTACTTCTGCGTATATGAGTTGATTTTATGTATCTAGGCAGAGCCTGGTAAATGGTGTTTTAAAAATGAAATAGTGATTTGCTAAAGTCCGGTCGCCGAGCACGTAGAATTTTGTCCAATGACCCCAAGCGATCTTTAAGCGACGGGCGCCCGCAGTGAGTGTGCGAGCGAAACGAATTTCTACGTGCTCGCTCGGCGACCGGACTTTATTTGGAAACCACTGTCTTTTGAGAAAGAAGAAAATACCTTCCATTTCCTGATACCAATGTAGTAGCTTGTTAACCACTAACATTCACCTTCTTTCCTCAGCTCCGAAACAAAAATGATGGTTGTGAAATGCGCCCCCAAATTCGGCGACGGCAAAGCTAAAGAGGAGGTATTCGTCAAGGGTGCCATAGAGAAAGTCCTCCCCATGTGCACCAGATACATCGACAGTTCAGGAAATTACGCGCCTATCACCAAAGACAAACAGAACGATTTCATGAGCGAGGCGTATAATATCGGACGGATGGGTAAGTTGTGTACATCTATCTATACTAATATTATAAATGCGAAAGTAACTGTCTGCCTGTCTGTCTTGCTTTCACGCCTAAACCACTGAACCGATTTTGATGAAATATGGCATAGAGATATGAGTCCCAGGAAAGGACATAGGATAGTTTTTACCCCGGTTTTTGAAACAGGGACGCGCGCGATAAAGTTTTTTTGTGACAGACAAAATTCCACGCGGGCGAAGCCGCGGGCGGAAAGCTAGTAGATAAATAATTCTGTGACGGCTTTGTCCAACGAAAATAAAGTCGTGAAATCTAAATTAATCTGAAGCACTTTCTCATCAAAAGCATCATGATTAATAAAATTAATATCGTAGTAAACAAACATATTTAACCGTAAATAGAGAAAAAATTACATTAGAATGACTATAGAATTAAATATTTAGCATGATCATCTATATATATAAAAAAGAAAGTCGTGTTAGTTACACCACTTATAACTCAAGAACGGCTGAACCGATTTAGTTGAAAATTGTCAGGGAGGTAGTTTAGAGCCAGGAGAAGGACATAGGATACTTTTTATCCCGTTCGAAATTAAAAAGAAAAATTCTGCTTATTTATTGCCATTGAGGCGGAACAAAGTTCGCCGGCTCAGCTAGTAGTCAATAGTTTGCTGATCTACCAATAAGTGTAACTGAGACGGTTTTAATTTTTTTTTTCACATATTTTCCTTTTCATTTTTCATCACATTGACTAAGCAAACTATACGAAGCCAAAATGAAAAAAAAAAAAAAAAAAAACCTTAGGCAAACTCAACACGTGGTTTTGGAGATATTTTTAAGGCAAAATTCTCTAAAATCGTCCTCTAAACCTTTATTATCTCCACCAGGTCTCCGCATCATAGCTCTCTGCCGCGGCGACAGTCTCGAAGCGCTAACATACACAGGAGTGTGCGGCGTGTGCGACCCGCCGCGACCGAATGTACGGGACGCGGTCGCTACATTACGCCGAGCCTGTGTGGATGTCAAGATGGTCACTGGGGACGCCAGGCCCACTGCTTTGGCTGTCGGTGAGTTAATACAGCTTCAGAGCTAGATTTGAGGCTCTAAAGCCTGGTCCGTGAGCACGTAGAATTTTGTCCAATGACCCCAAGCTACCCATCCTTATCGCTCGCGCGTAATTATGTTGCTGTCGCTTTCGCACACTCGCTGCGTGACGCTTAGACGAGCCTGTGACGACGTCAAGATGGTCAATCGGGACGCCAGATCTACTGCTTTGGCTGTCGGTAAGTTAATACAGCTTTTGAGCTAGATGAGAGGCTCTATCATACATAGATCCACTGCTTTGGCTGTCGGTAAGTTTGTGGCGACTTTATACGTCATTACAAACTAGTGTACCAACAGATGGCGCTGTCACGCCTCCACTATGGCATACTCAACCACGCGTACAATCCTGCATCGCGGTGTCGGAGTTTTCTATCCTGCCAAGTATATTTAGACAAACCAAAATGGTGTAAATTGGACCTTGGTCCCCGAGCACAACACCCGTTTGGAAGGAAGCATTAACACCTAGCTTCCTTATTGTAGATGAACGACATACCCCACAAGTTTATACAGCTTCAGAGTTAGATTTGAGGCTCTAACATACACAGGAGTGTATGTGTATACGTGACGCTATGACGAGCCTGTGTCTATGTCAAGATGGTCACTGGGACGCCAGGCCCACTGCTTTGGCTGTCGGTAAGTCACTATAAAGCTTCAGAATCAGTCTCGAAGCGCTAACATACACAGGAGTATGCGGCGTATGCGACCCGCCGCGACCGAATGTACGGGACGCGGTCGCTACATTACGGCGAGCCTGTGTGGATGTCAAGATGGTCACCGGGGACGCCAGGCCCACTGCTTTGGCTGTCGGTAAGTCACAGAGCATCAGAGCTAGATTCGAGGCTCTAAAGCCTGGTCCGTGAGCACGTAGAATTTTGTCCAATGACCCCAAGCTACCCATCCTTATCGCTCGCGCGTAATTATGTTGCTGTCGCTTTCGCACACTCGCTGCGTGACGCTTAGACGAGCCTGTGACGACGTCAAGATGGTCAATCGGGACGCCAGATCCACTGCTTTGGCTGTCGGTAAGTTACTACAGCTTCAGAATTAGACTCGAGGCTATATCATACATAGGAGTTAGTACGTGACGCTTAGACGAGGCTGGGTCGATGTTCAAGATGGTCACTGGAGACGCCAGGCCCACTGCTTTGGCTGTCGCTAAGTTACTATAGTCTGGTATGCGAGCACATAGAATTTTGTTCAATGACCCCAAGCTACCGCAGTGAGTGTGCGAGCGCGACAGCAACATAATTACGCGCGAGCGGTAAGGATGGGTAGCTTGGGGTCATAGATTTAAAGCGCTCACATAAAAAGAAGTGTATACGTGACGCTTAGACGAGCCTGTGACGACGTCAAGATGGTCAATGGAGACGCTAGATCCACTGCTTTGGCTGTCGGTAAGTTAGTACAGCTTCATAGTTAGATTCGAAGCTGTATCATACATAGGAGTGTATACGTGACGCTATGACGAGCCTGTGTCTATGTCAAGATGGTCACTGAGACTCCAGGCCCACTGCTTTGGCTGTCGGTAAGTTAATATCTTCGAAATTTGGCTGGCAACAAGTCACAGAGATTCAGAGTAGATTTGAAGCGCTAATATATACAGGAGTGTGCGACCCGCCGCGACCAAATGTACGGGACGCGGTCGCTACGCTGCGGCGAGCTTGTGTCGACGTCAAGATGGTCACTGGGGACGCCAAGCCCACTGCTTTGGCTGTCGGTAAGTCAAGAGCTTTAGAGTTTGGTTGTCGCCAAGTCAAGAGCTACAGAGTTTGGCTGTAGGTAAGTCACAGAGCTTCAAAGTTAGATTTGAAACGCTCCCATACACAATAGTATGCGGCGTGTGCGACCAAACGTGCGGGACGCGGTCGCTACGCTGCGCCGAGCCTGTGTCGACGTCAAGATGGTCACTGGAGACGCCAGGCCCACTGCTTTGGCTGTCGGTGAGTCAACTAAAGCTAATTAAGGCTTCAGAGTGCATTTCAGAGTTAGTCTCGAAGCGTTAACATACACAGGAGTAAATGGAATGTACGGGACGCGGTCGCTACGCTCAAGCGAGCCTGCGTCGACGTCAAGATGGTCACCGGGGACGCCAGGCCCACTGCTTTAGCAGTCGGTAAGTTAATACATCTTCTGAGCTAGATTCGAGGCTCTAAAGCCTGGTCCGTGAGCACGTAGAATTTTGTCCAATGACCCCAAGCTACCCATCCTTATCGCTCGCGCGTAATTATGTTGCTGTCGCGCTCGCACACTCACTGCGGGAGCCCGTCGCACAGTCGCGACAGCAATATAATTACACGCGAGCGATAAGGATGGGTAGCTTGCGGTCATTGGACAAAATTCTACGTGCTCACGGACCAGGCTTTATCATACATAGATCCACTGCTTTGGGTGGGTCGGTAAGTCATTAGAGCTACAAAATAAGCCTCGAAGCGCTAACATACACAGGAGTATGTATGTGACGCTTAGACGAGCCTGTGTCGATGTCAAGATGGTCACTGAGACTCCAGGCCTACTGCTTTGGCTGTCGGTAAGTTACTATAGTCTGGTATGCGAGCACATAGAATTTTGTTCAATGACCCCAAGCTACCGCAGTGAGTGTGCGAGCGCGACAGCAACATAATTACGCGCGAGCGGTAAGGATGGGTAGCTTGGGGTCATAGATTTAAAGCGCTCACATAAACAGAAGTGTATACGTGACGCTTAGACGAGCCTGTGACGACGTCAAGATGGTCAATGGGGACGCTAGATCCACTGCTTTGGCTGTCGGTAAGTTAGTACAGCTTCATAGTTAGATTCGAAGCTGTATCATACATAGGAGTGTATACGTGACGCTATGACGAGCCTGTGTCTATGTCAAGATGGTCACCGGGGACGCCAGGCCCACTGCTTTGGCTGTCGGTAAGTCAATATCTTCGAAATTTGGCTTTTAGTAAGTCAAAAGCTTCAGAGTTTGATTGTCGCCAAGTCAAGAGCTACAGAGTTTGGCTGGCGACAAGTCACGAGCTTCAGAGTAGATTTGAAGCGCTAATATATACAGGAGTGTGCGACCCGCCGCGACCGAATGTACGGGACGCGGTCGCTACATTACGGCGAGCCTGTGTGGATGTCAAGATGGTCACCGGGGACGCCAGGCCCACTGCTTTGGCTGTCGGTAAGTTACTATAGTCTGGTATGCGAGCACATAGAATTTTGTCCAATGACTCCAAGCTACCGCAGTGAGTGTGCGAGCGCGACAGCAACATAATTACGCGCGAGCGGTAAGGATGGGTAGCTTGGGGTCATAGATTTAAAGCGCTCACATAAACAGGAGTGTGTACGTGACGCTTAGACGAGCCTGTGACGACGTCAAGATGGTCAATGGAGACGCCAGACCCACTGCTTTGGCTGTCGGTAAGTTACTACAGCTTCAGAGTTAGACTCGAGGCTCTATCATACATAGGAGTTAGTACGTGACGCTTAGACGAGGCTGGGTCGATGTTCAAGATGGTCACTGGAGACGTGCCCACTGCTTTGGCTGTCGGTAAGTCACTATAAAGCTTCAGAGTCAGTCTCGAAGCGCTAACATAAACAGGAGTATGCGGCGTGTGCGACCCGCCGCGACCGAATGTACGGGACGCGGTCGCTACATTACGGCGAGCCTGTGTGGATGTCAAGATGGTCACCGGGGACGCCAGGCCCACTGCTTTGGCTGTCGGTAAGTTACTATAGTCTGGTATGCGAGCACATAGAATTTTGTTCAATGACCCCAAGCTACCGCAGTGAGTGTGCGAGCGCGACAGCAACATAATTACGCGCGAGCGGTAAGGATGGGTAGCTTGGGGTCATAGATTTAAAGCGCTCACATAAACAGGAGTGTGTACGTGACGCTTAGACGAGTCTGTGACGACGTCAAGATGCTCAATGGGGACGCCAGATCCACTGCTTTGGCTGTCGGTAAGTCACAGAGCATCAGAGCTAGATTCGAGGCTCTAAAGCCTGGTCCGTGAGCACGTAGAATTTTTCCAATGACCCCAAGCTACCCATCCTTATCGCTCGCGCGTAATTATGTTGCTGTCGCTTTCGCACACTCACTGCGGGAGCCCGTCGCACAGTCGCGACAGCAATATAATTACACGCGAGCGATAAGGATGGGTAGCTTGGGGTCATTGGACAAAATTCTACGTGCTCACGGACCAGGCTTTATCATACATAGATCCACTGCTTTGGCTGTGTCGGTAAGTCATTAGAGCTACAAAATAAGCCTCGAAGCGCTAACATACACAGGAATATGTATGTGACGCTTAGACGAGCCTGTGTCGATGTCAAGATGGTCACTGAGACTCCAGGCCTACTGCTTTGGCTGTCGGTAAGTCACTAAGAGTTTAATGCCCATTTTCACCATCAATCCCTAATTTTTAAGTGACCCCTATGGTAACAAATAGCAGGAATTTTGTTTACATAGGAGTCACTTAAAACTTAGGGATTGAAAGTGAAAACGGGCATAAAGCTACGATCTCCTATTAAACGCTGTACGTCAGCGTCAAACATTCCTAGACGTCCATACACCGACGTCAATGTCTGAAAGAGATGCGTTCGGGATGCGGTCGCTACGCTGCGGCGAGCCTGCGTCGACCTCAAGATAGTCACTGGAGACCCTAGACCCATATAGAGCCATTAAGGCCTATTCAGACCTAAGCGGTATTCGCTACCGTCTGCGGCAGAGAAAACCCAGTGGGTATGCGGTAATAATACTGTTCAGACCTAAGCGGTATTCGCTACCGTCTGCGGCAGAGAAAACGCTCTAGTCGCGGTACTTGATACTAAATACCTGAGCGAAACCCGCATGGTATGTACCTCTACCCACAGCGGCAGCGAATATCGCTCAGGTTTGAATAGGCCTTAATATTATCATCAACCCCGCAGGACAGCTTTGTGGCGATCTGTTGGTGAGTAGCGATACCACGTGGTCAGTTGTTAATCCGAGAACTCCCGAGAGTCGGGAGTCAGTCAAGATCCTCGTCTTCGGCTTGCGAGTGGAATCTAAGAGGGTCTTCAGGACTTTCACCTCTGGCTTGCCTTAACCGGCCGAAAGGAGTCGCTAGAGCTATATGCTCCTGAGGTTAAAGTGTTACAGGGTATAAACGCCGCGAGTATATTCGGAGAAAGCACAGCATACCTCTCTACACCCCATGAGCTGGCAGACACCAATGTTGCCCCTCAGTCCGGTCTATACGACTCATGACATCAGGAGGGGCCGATTTAGTCGCTGCTTAGTCCCCGTCTGCCAATTTTTTCAGTCTGAAATTTTATTTTTTGTTTCAGCTCAAATGGTTGGCTTGGACGTGTTGCACTCTCAGTCCCTTTCTGGCGAACAGTTGGACTCCATGCCTGATGATGAACTGGACAGAATTATTGACACAGTGAGTTTCTGTTTACTTTAAAAGGTGTATTTTTGTAGCGAGACAGCATATTAGACTATACATTTTGTTGTAAAATATCACCTATTCCAACTACATAAGATACTGCAATGTTTACCTTAATGTGCTATCGTTTGTAACAAGGAAATTGTGAGTATTTCACTGAGGTGGATTTCAGTTGACTTATGTAGTCATGGGCAAATTAAAAAAGCCTTGTTTGTGAATTAGATATGAATGATTTATTATTTTTTAACTGTTAGTTTTTTAATTGCTAATTAATTAATTTTACTATCTTATTTAGGTGAGCGTATTCTACAGGGTGACACCGAAACACAAGCTATCAATTGTGAAGTCTCTGCAGAGGCTCGGAAACATTGTAGGAATGACTGGTAAGTTGGTTTTTTATATTCTTTTCAAGATTTTTTTTAATTAATTACATTACTGGGAGTTTATTAGAGCCCATTGTTTTTGTCAATGTCAGTATTCTATATTTTTACACACGAAAAATTATATATTAAGTGCCAAAATCAGCCTCTTCGCATGGAAAAGGATTTATTTACATGCTAATCATTAATCATGTGGATTCCACGAGTGTGGTTTCAGAATACGTGCCACAATTTCGATTGTTTTTCAGTTGACGGACTCAAATTCGATTGTTTTTATTTATTTATTTATTATTCATTATTGAGCAAGTACATATTTGATCCAAATAGCGTCCTAAATCCTCTTTAGGTTTGTCTAGACACTATTGTTCTCTATATTATTATTTAAGTTGACGGACTCAAATTTGATTGTTTTCTTAGTCAACCGACTCAAATTCGATTGTTTTCTTAGTCAACGGACTCAAATTCGATTGTTTCTTTCTCTGACGAATATATCGATTGTTTTAGGTGACGGAGTGAATGACGGCGTGGCGTTGAAACGGGCTGATATCGGTATTGCCATGGGCAAGAATGGCACTGACGTGTGCAAGGAGGCAGCTGACATGATCCTGCTTGATGATGACTTTGCTACTATCATGTGAGTACTATCAAAACTATCTGCTGGGTTTCTAGAATCGATACTCAGATGGGTCATATAAGTTAAAATAAAACTTTGATTAATAGGGCAATATTTGGTTGCTGCTATCACAATTTTCTGCTGAGGGTTCTAGATTCAATACTCAAATGAGATTTCAAGTTAAAATAATACTTCGACAACAATGAAATCAAAATATTTCAAGCTTGAACCGATTTGATTTTTCGAAAGCAAATATATTTCATGCTACATTGATATATTTTGAAGAGTAGTTTTAGTAGTAAATAAACCGGTTAACAAAAAAGCTTTTAACTTTAACCTGTTATACCTTATAATCGAATAGATAAATAATGAAACTTTGATATGATTGTAAAAAGAATGTCGGCACGTCAAGCATACACTGTGGCCTTTTTAGCCCTTAGCGATTTTACAACAAAAATGTATAGTCTGATGCGCTCTCATCTGTCCAAGTTGGAACTGATGGCACAATGTAAAATGTCCAAGTACTATTTATTGTTTGTTTTTCAGTGCCGCAATCGAAGAGGGCAAGTGCATATTCTACAACATCCGCAACTTCGTCCGCTTCCAGCTTTCGACGTCGATCGCCGCGTTGTCGCTCATCGCTCTCGCTACTCTCATGGGCATACCGAACCCGTTGAATGCTATGCAGATACTGTGGATCAATATTATTATGGACGGTTAGTTGTTTGATTATTCAACATTACTATACTTCCTATAACTAGACTTAGGGGGCGTCCATTAATTACGTGAGACATTTAGGGGAGGACATTTAGGACATTTCAGTGAAAAAGGTATCCTCATTATGATATGTTATGGCTAATTGACCGCTATCCAGGGTCAGTTTAAAAATGACAGGTGATAACGTCCTTTATATGAGTTGTCAAAACGGGAGGACGCTCTCATTCATCCTATATATAACGTAAGAGGCGACTCATATTGTCTGGTCAGACTGTTCTTCCATTTTCCTCTGGTAAATTGGAAGTCTAGCTCTTGCAATGGATACTGAATCTGAGTTTGTTGCGGCGCTTCTTCTCAGCACTTGCCAAATGTTTGTCTCGAAGCGCTGGTAGGGCAAAAAAAGAATGAGACATGTATAGGCTCCTTAAGAGCATTTGACGATTTGCAAGAACTAATTTAATTAGTCAAAACAAATAAAGAATATTTTGATTTTGATTTTGAATATCCTAATGAGGGCTATCGTTTTAGCGCTCACCAGTTTGCTACACTGTAGAGCTGTAAGGTCCTGTCACTTGCTAGTAGCGAAGACAGTGGCACCAACCGGTGAGTGCTAAAGTGGTAGGAGGACTATCGCATTTGCACTCATCAAGATAATCATAATCATAATCATAATTTTATTGTCAAAACTGTGTACAAAAGGTGGTAACAAAAATTTAGTGGCTTCAACAGTTATCCATTTCGGATGTACAATATGTTAATAGAAAATTTAAAATAATAATAAAAAACAAGATGGCGCCACTGTAGAGTAAGGTCCTGTCAATCGCCAGGGGTGCCAACTGTTAAGTATAAAAACGATAGCTCTCATTATGGTGATGATGACAATTGAAGGTGTATTTGACACCACCAATTGATTAACATTTTTTATGAGCTATTAAAACGCTATTCTTCCAAACATTTTGTATGACAACATAAGTCAAAAGTCAGTGACTTTACTTTTTTATCAATTTCACATTATCTTGCCAAAACTAAATGATCTGCTATTATACATGACTAGCGTCTGCCCACGGCTTCGTATGCGTGGACCCCGTTTTACCCCCTTAGGGGTTGAATTTTGGAAAATCCCGTCTTAGTGAGCACCTACGTTCTAAAAGGAACCCTCATGTAAAATTTGAGGCTCAAAGCACTTGTAGTTTCTGAGATTTCGTGATGAGTGAGTGAGTCAGTCAATCAGTGACCTTTCGCCCTTCAAATTGTCAAGCGGTCGCAATCTGCCAAATTCGCAAAATGTCAAGTTTTAAAAATGTCTTTATATTACGGTTTTATGGTTTCATATTTTTAAAAACCTTAACATTTTAATGATTAAAAGTTTTGCCAATTAATTACTTGACTTTTATGATTAAACCTAAACAACAGAACATTTTTAAAATTTGACATTTTGCGAATTTGACAATTTGCGCATAAAGGCCTTTCGCTTTTATAGATATTGATTACTTACTTCGGTATTCCCGCAGGCCCTCCCGCTCAGTCCTTGGGAGTCGAACCGGTAGACCACGAGGTGGTGCGACGCCGGCCGCGAGATACTTCGCGGCGGATCATCTCGCGCGGGCTGCTGGCTAACGTATTGCTGTCTGCTGCTATCATTATAGCTGGCACCCTGTGGGTCTTCAATAGAGAGGTCAGTCTATACTAAATATTCTTACATTACACTTTCGTATTCATGATAATAGTATAGATAAAAATGTCTCATCAAATTCTACGATAGATTGTTTGACGCCAGCGATCAACTGACGATTTTTACAAGCTACTAAAATGCGACTTTTCCATTAGTATGGCTATATGAGCTATTGCTTCTTATCAATTTCAAATCAATAAAAATCTACTGTTGATTGAAAACTTATTCAATTTTGAAGACGAATTATTTAATGTTCTTTTAGAAATTTAGTGCATTGGAATTATGTCGTGTACGTGCCGCAATCTCGTCTCCTTGTGGCATAACGTAAAAAATAACAAGTACTGTGCATTTGAATCTTAGATACTTTTTACTTTAGAACTAATTAATTTTCTCTAAGCAAAATAGACTCTTGACTTCAGAACTTGTCACTACCACCAATATCGGATCGCAGGTTCCGATTTTTGCCATGTTGGAAACTATATTTGAACAATGGTAGCGCCCCCCTGTCAATGAGTTTGGTGGGACAGTTCAGTGTGGGTCATCTATAAAGCAAAATCAACCCTAAAGGCCTTCATAACCGACGTATAATCACACATCGTTCCCCAGATGTCGGACAACAAGATAACCCCGCGCGACACCACGATGACGTTCACCTGCTTCGTGCTGTTCGACATGTTCAACGCGCTGTCGTGCCGCTCGCAGACCAAATCCGTGTTCCAGGTCGGATTGTTCTCTAACAAGTGAGTGTTATTTATTATTATTATGGCTTTTGTATTGTACACTAAAGTCCGGTCGCCGAGCACATAAAATTTCGTCCAATGACCCCAAGCTACCTATCCTTATCGCTCGCGCGTAATTATATTGCTGTCGCGCTCGCACACTTACTGCTGCCGCCCGTGGCACAGTCGCGACAGCAATATAATTACGCGCGAGCGATAAGGATAGGTAGCTTGGGGTCATTGGACAAAGTTCTACGTGCTCGCAGACCGGGGTTTAGGTACTTCACCAAATCTTTGGTCTGTCTGGCCGGAGACCTGCCCACACTATGTCTTCTCATCGGTCGCCACTCGAGAACTTTTCTGCTGTAGTGGCCATCAGGTCTATAAGCTATGTGCCCCGCCCACTGCCACTTAAGCAATGTCTTCTGATGATGATGATGAATCCTGCGTATCTCCTCATTTCCGACTCGATCACGCAGGGAAACTGAACATAGCACGCTCTGGTGACCTTAAGCCGTCTTATGTGGCCCATAGTAAATGATTTATTACTATTAGGGCTTATTTTTTTAATCAAGGTTCTAGAGTGGAGGCCACGTACCAGAAAGCACAGCGTAGGACGTCCACCTACAAGGTGGACCGACGACCTCATAAAGGTAGCGGGAAGGCGCTGGATGCAGGCCGCCACCAACCGGCCATTGTGGAAATCATTGGGGGAGGTCTATGTTCAGCAGTGGACGTCCTATGGCTGAAATGATGATACGTGAACTACAATGATGATTATTTTTAATGAAGCTACAACTTCCCTTTTGCGTGTGGTCGACAGAGTGAAGGAAGGGTCGTCCTCCTGCATTAAAGACTAACGCCCGTATTTACAAACGTTACTATGAGGTCTCACAGTGCGCCGTGGACGCACAGGGTGACACACGAATCAATCACAGAGCTCTATTCAATGCTGTGCGTTCGATTTGAAGCAAGCATCGTTTGTGTATACTCCCCGCCAACTATTTCGCGACATTTGATTATTATGTAAATGAGTACGAGTACTAAAACTGAACACTTGTAGTAAAGTCTTGTATTGCATCTAGAATGTTCCTGGTAGCCGTGACACTGAGCTTGGTGGGCCAGATGTTGGTGGTATTCTTCCCGCCGCTGCAGCGCGTATTCCAGACCGAAGCGCTTACTGGACATGGTGAGTGTGGTTTATATCGATAGGGATTAATTTCATTCCTTTTGGACCTTATGTCGTGTGCATAAAGTTTAAGATTGTTGACGACTATCAATGAAGACGAGGCCAATGATTCGAAGGTTATTTAAAACTGTTAAATTCACAGCTTTGCAATTTTCGATTACTTCGCATTTATACCACTAATGGAAGTGTACAAATTCGATAAGAGGCCAATAATACTATTACATATTATGTTGTATTGTACCGTTACCAGTAAACAGGTAGTTATAAAATAGTAAACGGTAAAACTATACTCGTAGATGTTATAGTTTCGGCCAATATTTCTGCAACACTACTTGGCAATGATTACAATTCCATATACTAAAGAACTAGTCGGATATGACATCTGATACTTAATTTTTTGTTCCAGATCTCATATTCCTAGTCTGCCTCACGTCCAGCGTATTCATCGTGAGCGAAGTGAAAAAGCTGATCGAGCGGACCCTCAAGAAGAAGTCCTACGGAAAGTTCTCGACGAAGGCCCACGACGCCATGGACTTCGTATGACACGAGACCGACAAGAAGGCGCAGTAAGCGGCGCCCACCGCCCCGCCCACTGTGACACGCCTACCTGTTCCAAATATCACGTGACCGACTCCCCCACACACATCCAATTCACCGATGAGCTAATCAAATATCAAGTGACAAAATCACAGTCCAAATATCGAGTGACCGAGTCGCAGTCGCAGGTATCGAGTGACGGGTGCGTCTTCAGTGACAGCTGTCAGTGCGGTGACGGCCGGGACAAAGGACCGTTCTCGATTTACGACGGCAAAATCGATATTCCTGTTCGTATTTAAATTATATTTCTAATTGATGAATGCAGTATTTTTTTTTAAAACGTGTTTTAGTAGCTATTATTTATTTTTCTTATCTTTTTTTTACGATGTAATTTTAAGTGGTAATAGTGAATGTTTGGTGTTTTATTTTTAAGATAGCTAATTGACGTTGGACGTGTGGAATTTGGGCCCAGAAAGAGTGAATGTGCATTTTTTATGTGATGTAGTTTTGCGATGTGGCATTTTGATGTCGTTGCATGAATAAAGAAATTGACTTTGACAAAGTGTTAGATTTAATTAAATGGTTGTAGATATGTGTGAATACCTTTACCCTGCAGTATACTGTATTCGTAAAATGTTTCTTATTGCAACAGAACAAGGTTGGCTTTACGTTGCAGGGTACATGTACTGCATGATGTAATGAAATATAAAACTATGATGGACTTAGTCACTGAAGAGTGATACTTATTTACTTGACATGCCGATATTTAGTGCGAATCAGTTACTTGATATTAAATTCACTGATTTTTCCCTTACGACATGGATTTTTGCAAACCGTATCTTGTAATCTACGATCAGTATTTAGAGAATTGAAAAGGCAGATAATTACTAAAAAAAGCTTAATTTAAAGTGGCCATAAAGAGTTTATTTTCGGTATAATAATCTGTGGTTTAATTGTCAAATATCTGTTTCGAATTTAACTCTTGGCTGTCAAGTAATATTCTTATTAGGTAAAAAAACGCATGTATGCATAAAATAGTGAATTAAATCTACAGCTCGGTTAAAAAAGCTGGAACATACACGTATTGCGTTTGTGTGGAGTATTAATAAGCTCACGCGCACGTCACGTGACGTCATATTGCAAACGTATTATAAAATATCTATCTATCTCTCACAAGCTGTCAAACTTATGAGCGAGATAGTTATTGTTTTCACTATTATTTATTGCTGAATATAGTGTAATGTTTTCTTATACATGCTGTATAATAAAACTGATTTATTTTAGTATTGTGAACGTGCCAGTTTTATTCAACTGACCACTTACCAGTGATGTGAGATTGCTAAACCCTTACATGACTATTCTATGTTTGACATTGTAAATTATAATAATTATATCGGATCTGATCTAAATATAGTGTGAAATTAGCTTGGCATTTAGTTCTCTCTCTCACTCCCACTGTCAGATACTAGCTTGCATGCGAGCGAGACAAAAATAGTAAAAAAGAGTAGCCTTTACTAAAAAAAACATTTCAATTACATTCCTTTGTATTTTCTAATTGTGTAAAAAGAATTTTAGCAATGAATATTAACGATTTCACTATTATAGCGATGTTTTTAACCAACTAAAGATTTTTATTTTATAAAATTTAACGAATTATTCATATTAAAAATTCTCGGTTAGAGAAGGTAGGAAAATATTAGAGAAAATAGAAAGGAAAGTACAATTTTATCTGGTATATTTTTATATTTATTTTATCGACATATTACAATATTATTATTTAATCGAATGTATTATTTATCCAATAAAATATTCATTTTACTTATATTTGAACTTGTTTTCATAAATTATTGATAACAAAGTAACAAATATTCCTAAATTCGAGAAACAAAATGGGCTTTGTACATAATCGCGTCAAAAATGAATTAGAATTTATCTTGATAGTTAATAGCAAAAAAATGTAGAAGAAAATATAACTGAAGTAAGTTCTGTGGGCAATTTTGTTGAGTTGAGCCAAGATCTAAAACTGAGTGGGGACTTCTCTTTTTCTCTTTTGTGAAAGAAGCGAGACAGCATGTTGAATTGAAAAGTGACAAACTATTAGTCTGGCCTATTTGGGTTGTTTTTAGTGGAGTTTAAAGGCCAGATTGGTCTGTGAATGGTGTCATATTTTCAGATTGACTGCATGTTGTCCGTTTCTACTCACGTAAGAGAGAAAGAGACAGACTGATCGATAATTTTGTTAAGAGTGGTACAAGACAATCGCCACTGTAAATAAGAAAAGTGGTGAAGAGTCGAGCGGTTTTACGGTCTACTATAAATAAATAGGTAATATCATAAACTATGCTTTCGTAGCTTCTGCGCGCACTTATTAACTGTGCTTAATAATAATAATTATGGCTCTATTATTTATTATTAAAATCTATGATGAGCTATTATTTGTATACCAACATTTTTAATCAATCCCAGTAAAAATTATGAGGACCATTTTTATCTTGTAAAACTTGTGATTTTTCCCCTGTGTAAGGTTAGGTAAATTATATTCACCCATCCTGTTCTTAATTTTGTAGTACTGTATTGATGTTAATGTATATTAGCATTCGTGTTGCTAGTTGGATGGAATGAATTGGATGGATTGTAAAGGTCTCATCTAGAAAAGGCTTAGCCAAATACTTAGCGCGCTAATCTGTCGTCGCGCTATAGCGCCAATCTATGTTTGTAGAATGTAGAACCTGACGTCAAACCATCCCTAATGCCGCGATAAAGCAATGCGTACTAGCGTTGGCGCCGTTTGATATGAAACTATCTACATTCTACCAACACAATTCGGCACTATAGCGCACAAGTACGCGTTCTTTGGCGATGCCTTAAAATTGACATACATATTTTGGCCTTAATCAAGTTTCTATCGCAATATTTAGAAAAAAAATTGTTCTATTTTAAAATGTCTAAATTTCAAAGGAATAAAACTGATTCAGATCGACATTCTGACTAAATTATTGTCTTTGTTTTCTAATCATCTTTTTCTTTTGGATTAAAACGGTCAAAATATGGCGGTAATGTCGTGGCCTAAGTCGTGGATAAGTCTTAAGATTGGTGCTTGATACTGTGGAAGATTTCGGCGGTAAGGTAATAAGGTATTTAGTTCACATAAATACTGGGTCCGTATTACAACACCATGCTTGAAACTCGACTCCGAATCAGTCAGATTTTGCCCTGTGATTGGCCGAAACATTGAAATTCAATGCTTGAGATAGAATCCACTTTGAGCTTTGTTCTGTAATACGGGTCTTACTTAGAAAATCTGTTGTTTTTGGTATAAATAACCTTCGATTTTAAATATCATTTTACTTGTTATTCATTTCAAAACATTCGACATTAATTTTAACTGTGTTTTTCCTGTAACATTATTTATACATTCTCATTCTTATGTCTCCTGCAGTTATCTATTAGCTAGTTTGATATTATTTAATAATTTTCCTCTAATAAAAACATCCTGTATTTAAAATGTGACAAGTAAATAATAAAAAAACACTTTTACTGTATGGTGAATTCAAGGTTTTCCTTTTACTTAGCTAGATAAAGTAATTCTCCTTTCAATGTCTGTTTAAGAAACGAGCTCGTTATGACGACATAAAATGGCGTCCTTTGGTGTTGCCATAGATATTATTTCGAATTTATTTAGCGTTAGTGTTGTATTTGTATTAAGGTTGTTTAGAGTCTGTTCTTGTAATATCTAATGTTTTGAATCTTAGAAAGGTGGTTTAAATTTTAATATTGGAAATTCATAAAGTAGTAAGTGCAAATCATGAGTCGAAAGAAAACAAAAAAATATAGTCTAATTGGTCATTGTTTTTCGACTTTAACATAATATAGGTACTAATATTATAAATCCGAAAGTAACTCTGTCTGTCTGTCTGTATCGCTTTCACGCCTAAACCACTGAACCGATTTTGATGAAATTTGGCATAGAGATAGTTTGAGTCCCGGGAAAGGACATAGGATAGTTTTTATCCCGATTTTTGAAACAGGGACACGCGCGATAAAGTTTTTCTGTGACAGACGAAATTCCACGCGGGCGAAGCCGCGGGCGGAATGCTAGTAAGACCAGGGTTCGAAAATATCCGATATTTATTATAAATATCAAAATATCGGATATTTATGATATATATCCGATATATATCAACTTTGATATATATCAATTTTGTATGAAAGCCATAGTATTATTTTATTGTATTATTCATGAATACTATTGCATATGTGTTACATAAACATGTTTTTAATGTCTTTAAAACTTAAAATCAGACAAATAAAGCAAAAACATAAAATATCTTTGAAATACGGCAAAATCAACTAAAAAAATAAAAATCTTATGTCAAAAAGTATAAATACAGTAACAAATTTTAAAAGTTGATATATATCATCAAAACCGGCTTGATATATATCGGATATATATCCGATATATATCTTGATATATATCCCTTGATATATATCCTCGAACCCTGAGTAAGACTATAAAGTTCAAAATAATGTGGTTGCAATATAACTATTGTCTGCTTTTGAGTAAGCACGTGAACACGAAAACCGCACCTCTTTCTCAAAATACAAGCTATTTTTGCTGTGCACACCCACAAAATTGTTATTTGCTACTTTATGTCTATCACGCACGGTTATATCATTGTGATTCGAGTCATATCTTTAAGAAAGAATTTGTATTACGTCGTAGCGTGTTGTAACACATAGTCCAATCTCGTTAATTCTTAGCTATGCTTTCTTTTGGGGTTGCCACTCGTAAAAAAATTAACCTTGGTATCAGTCTCGAGCCACCTCCACCTCCTATATGCTTCTAAACAGGTTATCTTTCGACGAGGCTTTTTTTGAACAAAAAGTTTTTTAACAGTGGCAACCCTAGCATACATTTTGATGTTTAATATACCGCATTATAAAAGGTATGTAGGTATTGACACTCTTTAGATAGAAATTGAGGCATCTATCACTTATATCTTAATGTTAATTCTATTGTAGAAAGTTAAAATTTAATGTACGTGAAAATATATTGATATGAACATTATTTGTAGTCTTTTATAATGTCGACTAGAAATGAAATGGTTAAGAAGGTAGTATTTGACTTCATGTTTTGTTCTATATATTTTTTGGAGTTAGTGAAAATTGTATTTATATTTCCCACTAAAACAAAAATAACTAAAAATGGCATAGAAAATAATGTATGTTGATAAACTTTTAAGTTTTTTGCAGTAATTTTTCACTTGAAAAGCTTAGGAAAACTACATAAGGCAATTGGTGTGTTGGCTAAAAAATACATTAAATATACCTCTGGGTCCTTTCATATTTAGTCGACGATTTTGTATTCTACGTACGACTTCCTCAACTGTTTTCACCTCTATTTGTAATGTTAAGAATATGTATTTAAATGAAATATATTGACACACAACCATTTGACAATCGTTAGATATGAAATATTAATATTGGTCTCTCAAAAACCAGCTGCAATATTTTAGCTGTTCTGTATTGTTAATAGCATATTGAAAGAACGGCCATAATGACTCGGTTATGCCCTTCTATTTGCCCATTTGAAATGACGACTACCCTCATTATGGGGGCCATAACTGACATTTTAATCTGGCAACTCTGCGTGATTAGCTGGCAATACACACTCATGCATTTTTGGAGGGTCCAGAAACAACTAAATGAATGGCAAAAGTAGCAAAAACACGAATCATTCAAACAAGTCCTAATCGCTCAATTATAGTAATTAAGACCTGATTGATGGTCTTTCTAAAATGCCTGTTTTCACCATCAATCCCTAATTTTTAAGTGACCCCTTTGAAAACAAAATGCCTGTTACGTGTAGGGGTCACTTAAAAAATTAGAGATAGAGATGGTGAAAACGGGCATAAAACTAAAATGTCAGCTATGGCCCTAAGTCACACTTATACCGCCAGTAAAGACCACTTATATGTTAAGGAGCTGATACAAATAAATAGCCCGAATATCAAGTTATTGATTGTGTTTTATTTTACACCTCTCCCACCATGAAAATAAAGTTCGGTTTCAAATTGTGACCGGTTCGGGTTATTTGAGAACGCAGTTGGAATGAAACTTCGGGCAGTGAAATAAAAATGGATTTTAAGTACAGGACAGCAAACTCAAAGAGAATCTTAGGCCTGGTTTCCACCAAGGTAAAGCGGAGCGGAGATGTGTTTTGGATCTCAGATTTAATTATTCAGGAAACCAGGAAATCTGATTGGTTAATGGGACAACGGGAAGTAATTTTCATAATTTAAATCAATTCCTTTTGAACCCATTATCGGGACAAGAATCGTGGGGACAACAGGAATACAGGATTCAAAACACTTATCTGCGCCTTGGTGGAAAAGGGCCTAAAGATCATAAAAGATAAAATAAGAAAACTGTAACCTAATGGAAATGCTTCAAAAAGAACCGCGCGACATGGGTCATTGCAACAATATTAGAGACACATTTTGCGAAATCGGGGATTCACTTCACAAAGTAAGCAATACGGTAAATGACGCTATACCAAGAATTGCTGTAATTAAGTTACCGTGATCAAATTGATGTCTCACACCGAACCTAGTTGTAGGGTTTTATTCTTAGCAATGCAAACATTGAAGTCTGTGATACAACATGTGTCATGAATTAGCAAACAATAAACCGTGGCCAAACCGGTAAGCTCGAAAACACGTAGGCTACATAAGTTATCAGACTTGCATTCGGTCCCGGGTTCAATTTCCATTTGATTTTTACCATAGAAAACCGGAGCTAGGCTTTTCCCAACATATTACATTTGCCTGTTGCAATAATAACAAGCTTAATGATTTTATTTACTCAGAATTAAGAAAGGTTATCGTTTAGCGGTTATCAATATAATATGACTACTTGAATTTAATCGGTTTGGGTTTGTTAAATAATATTTATTGTTTTATTTACAGATTCTAGAAAGAAACTAGACCGATCAGATTACACCAATATCATTTAACGGCAGCAACATATAGAGTGGAAATTGTCGACAACATAATTTGAGGTCCAGTAGAAACAAAATACACATCACAAATTCACAATTCAAGCTTAAAGTGACACATTTGTATGCGTCACGTTATACAGTTTGCAGGACTGTCTCTTTGTCTTGGGTTTATCACCTCAACCGGTTCAGTGGCAAGATGGCCGTCGCACTGGTCAAACGTGCGCTTACGCACACGTGCGTCATAGCAATATTATTACAAACCTGTTGTGCACAGAAGTTCAATATCCCTGATGTCAAAATCGAGGCTTTTTCCCCAAAAGGATTCAGGGCATCCATACCTGGTGAGTTTTATTTAAATATTTAGTGCCCTTGAAAACAGCTTTTTATTTAGTAAACATTAAAAGCCGGGTTTTTTTACCGCCACACGGATAAGTATTGTTTATGAAACGACTTCCAATAAATTGTTTAATCATTATAGTTATTTATTTGGTCCATAAACTTTTATTTTGTTTTTGTATCCAATACCTACTTAAATAAACACAAACATTCTTAAGGAACCTTATACAGATACCAAAACTTTATATTTATTTACCTACTAATATGTATGATATCAGTTGACTAAATAAGCTACATTTTATTTGGGGCCTTATCTAAAAATTACTGTTAAATTTATTTTTAATTTTCAATTCAAGAAAAGCTTTAATTAAGTTGAATATTAAGTCAACGTGATACTGTTAAAAGTAATTCCCCTAAACAAAAAAAAGATTGTACCTACCTACCTACTATCCTATATTTTTTTATCTGCCCGATTGCTTGATTGAGTTGAGTGACTTGAGTACAGCAATATAATTAACGTAAAAAACTTACCAGAGCACATTTTTTACCTCATTTCCCAAATTGACCAAACTAGGAATCGAATTAAGGACCCTTATAATAATTTATTTGTTTACTTCTAGATTCCCCTGGCATGTCCCTCTTCGTATTCCAAGGGAATGTAAACAGGGCCATCGACAGCACCGCGGTAGGCGGACTTAAGGGCGAAATCACCCAGGCAACCAACGGGCGATGGGTGTACGACAATCCTGACGCCCAGCTGAAAGTCGGCGACGTCGTTAACTATTACGTTTTTGTGTCGGTCAACAGAGAAGGATTCGTTAAGGACGGTCTCACCTATACTATCACGGGTGAGATAAACTTCCTAAAACTCTTCCAGCTTTAGGGTTTTACAACCATCCATAAATTGTAATTCTTCAGTGGCGGCGGTAGCATGGGTTGGCCCCGGGGCGATCATCACCCCCCCCCCCCCCCGTCATATCCCCCCAGGATGNNNNCCCCCCAGGATGTTTACCTACCGATTCGAAGATTGAAAGACAATCATGACATAGACCGCTTGCAGATGTGCCAGTGAGTACTAATCTGCGCGACTTGTGTCGCCCCCTGATGCTTGGCACCCGGGGCGGACCGCCCCCGCCGCAACCCTTGAAAGAGTAACTAATAAGGAATTTAGATTAAAGTAGTTGGTAATAATTCCAGAGTTCAGCAGCCGTTCAGGCAGCCCCACTGGCCCAAATCCCACGCCCACGCCTGACTGCCGTCCGTCAGCGACGCGCATCCGCGGAGGCAAAGCGTGCGCAGGGCAGACCATCTTCGAAGACAACTTCGACTCCTTCAAGGACGATCTCTGGCAGATTGAACAGTACATACCCATCAACCATCCTGTAAGCAGTATTACCAGTATTACCAAGCTATTCCTTTATACTTATTTGACATTTAATTACGGTCCGGACACTCTTGACTTAAATCGTTAATTTGGCCCATTTGGATAAGTTAAGGCCTTCAACACTAATTTCATTTGTAGGAACCATGTAGATTTGGTAGAATAGAATCATAGAGTAGAATCGCAGTAGGTATAATCAGGTATATAATTTATTTATCTACTGCGGTAGAATCCTGTGGATGTGAATGGAGAAATGAAGTCTTATAAAGTCAGCTGTAGGTACTTAATGTTTATTATTCTAAAAGCAGCAATATCGCGCAGACTATAAGGAAAGCAACATTTCGTTGCTTACTTGGAGGTGCTCTGAAAAAGCCATAGGTACTTGTATTTTTAAAGGATTTCACTTGAAATCAGGTATAGGGTGGCAGGGCTGGCAAAATGCCACGGGCCCTGGCCCAAGATCGCGATGCTTCAGGGCGATATGGTCCCGGGGCCCCCCTGAAAAATAAGCACAGAATTTGCCACGAGCCTCAGATGGTATAGTTACGCCACTGCTGCTTGAAATCTAAGTTCTTATTTTTTATTATATGTCACCAGGAATTCCCCTTCGTGTCATACCAAAGGTTGTCTCCCAACGGACCCGTGTCAGTGTCCGGGGGCTTCCTGCACATCGCGCCGAAACTGCAGCAGACTCTCCCAGGGTTCAACAATGAGTCCATCTACACGGGAAGCCTGGACTTATTCAGTGGGTAAGGACTATATTACTCATAGTTGAAATCCCTTAATATAGACGAAACGCTTATCTGACAAGTGTAAAATAGGCCAACAAAATAAAATAGCGAAGCATTAGATGCAGTTACTACTAGGTGTGACAATTTTAAGGAGATGCGACCCAGCATTTTTGTACCACACATCTCGATAGCGACAGCGGAGCGAAGTCCTTGTAATGCAACTAGGATGCAAAAAAGCACCGAATTAATTCTTCAACCACACCAACGCGTGTACATCGCCATCGCCGGCGCGACCATAGGGAAATGATCATTGGCTTTTGATCGGACCGGCGATGGCGATCTGCACGCCTTGGTGTGGTTGAAGCTTAACGCTTTACTTGGTTAAACATCGGGATAGCGCGAATCTTCGGGTTATCGCAATGTCTCTGGGCTAGAGGATATTGACTGCATGATTACTAGTGACCGACCGAATATTCGTTTTCGTTTTCGTTTTCGGCCATTTTCGGCCAAAAAATGGACATTCGGCCATATTTTCGTTTTCGGCCAAAAACCAGCCGAAACTTCGGCCAAACCGAATATCAAAAATACGTGAGTAAGATGGTGAAGTTTATCGTTCCGATATCTTCGGGAGTGAATCTGATGCACTCATGGTTCCAATCAGACTTGAACGGACTCGGTATTGTCACACTCTTTTGAAGTTTTGAAGTGAGGTTACATTGTAAAGGGTGTCCAGCGAAAATTTTCCAAGTTCCAAATTGAATACAAATAAAACCAAAGAGTTTTCATTAAGTTTAATTGTTTCAAAAAAGAGTCTAATGCGGATTTGAAATACGCCATGAGTCACTGGTCGATGTGTCTTGCTTCACAGCAAGAAGGTGTTTCACCACACACGGAGAGTACCTCGATGGAGACACTGAGGACTAATTTTTCTAGCCGCCTCGGTCATCAGATCTCACAACATGCGACTTTTTCTTGTGGGGATATCTCAAGTCAAGTTTACAGCAAAACAATCCTTAAATAATTCAGGTTCTGTAAGAAAATATCCGCCGTGAAGTTGCAGGAAAATTATTAGCGCGATTTGCTCTCGCATAGTTGCGAATGTAAGGGTCCGGCTGTGAGAGTGCCTATAGTAAAACGGGCATCATTTAAAAGACATTGCCTATAAAAAAATAAATCCGCATTGTTAAACTCCAGTTTGCATTAGTAATAAATAATAAAAAATCATTAATTTATTTGTATGAATCATTTTTGAAGTTGAAAAATTCCCACTGGACACCCTTTATTTCTTCTTCACTTCCCAATATTTCAATATACACCGGAAATAATATTCTACTAAGAATTCATAATTCAATTTTTTGTGTTTTATTGCCGGTTTTCTTTAATCAATCCTTATCAAAAACAACTGTCAAACATCATTATGTTTTTGGTCAAAACATTAACGGTTTTCAAAGTTTTTACATAATTTCAGATTGTTTGTGAGTTGAAGGTCATTTTCGTTTTCGTTTTCGTTTTCGGCCGAAAATGAGACTGCAGCCGAAGCTTCGTTTTCGTTTCCGTTTTCGGCTGAAAATCCATATTCGGTCGGACACTAATGATTACAGTTGGTTAAGTAAAGTTTCATCAAATCTGGGGGCAATTGTTGGTCTACCAGTATTAGATGCCATATTATATTTGGAAGAAAAAGAAGGAGATTTTTGATGATGATCTTTGCTGCGATTGAGCTATGCCAGACTGGTGACTCAAAAGTACCAGACAAAGTAAAGTTGTTGCAATTCACAAAGGCGAGTGAGTGTTACATGTGTGGTGGCCTGCTACTCTTCGTTTTTCAAAAGTTTTGTAAGGTTTTAACAGACATTACACTATCGTTATGTGCATGTACACGTACACACACGAGTAAAGCTCACTCGTCTTCGTGAGTTGCAACAACTATAGTAAGATGATGTCATCATCTACGTTATTGCAGTTGCACCGCCAGCGCCGAGGCGTGCTACCGGCAAGCGATGGGCGCCAACATCCTACCGCCTGTAGCCAGTGGCCGTCTCACCAGCAGCGTGGCCTTCACCTACGGCACCGTCACCATCCGCGCCAAGCTGCCTCAGGGCGACTGGATGTATCCAGGTGCAGTGGCAGCGCCCCCAAGATCATCATCATCATCATTTCAGAAATAGGACGTCCACGGCTGAACATAGGCCTCCCTTAATGATTTCCATCATGGTGGCGGCCTTCATCCAGCGCCTTCCTGCTACCTTTATGAGGTCGCCGGTCAACTTTGTGGGTGGACGTCCTACGCTGCGCTTTCCGGTAGGTGGCCTCCACTCCAGAACCTTGCTGCTCCATCGGCCGTCAGTTCTGCGTACTTTGTGCTCTGCCCATTGCCACTTCAGCTTGCTGATCCGTTGACCTATGTCAGCGACTTTAGTTTGTTTACGGATCTCCTCCTTTCTGATTCGATCTCTTAAAGAAACACCGAGCATAGCCTTCTCCACAGCACGCTGTACCATTTTGAGCTTATTGATAAGTATATTGAGAGGCCACGTTTCCGAGCCGTATATCATCACTGGTCCCCCAGATAAGCGTCCTAAATTTTTTACAAGTGTCATGTGATTGCCCACAAGATGAATAGGTATACCTGGGGAGTTGCAGAAAGCTGCTGTATGTCCACTTGCTATCTGGATCCGATTCCGAAACAGCTTTAGTTGAAATGATGATGATGATGATGCTGTGCGACTGTAGCTCTTCCGCTTCCATGGAGGAATCCTTTTGGATCCTCTAACAAATACTTGTTTTGTAAAAACTAACGCCAACAATACGCATACTTAGTCTAGCTGATCGTTTCATCCATGAAGATGCATCTTATTGGTCGAAGGAAGCGCGGGGTGCGGGGAGTTTGATCCGAGCGATCCAAGCGTCATGTGCGTTGTAGGGTGCGTGTGCTCATGGATGATTTAGCGTGTACCAATAATACTCAAACATTGGCGGAAGAATGGTGGGGCGCGTCTTCGACGATCAATAGATCGTTTCATCCAGGAAGACGCGCCCCACCATTCTTCCGCCAATGTTTGTATTTAAGCTTCCTAAATCGTTTAGAAAAGTGTCTTTGATCTAGATAATTCAGGTCATCTGATAGCCCACAATCGCCACTCGAGAACTTTTCTGCCCCTGCGACCATCAGCTCTGAAAGCTAAGTGCCCCGCCCACCGCCTCTTGATTTCGGCGATTCTGTTGGCTATGTCAGTCACTTTAGTTAGTAGAATAAGTAAGTGTTTTTTATTACAGAATTACTTCTAGAGCCGTTTCTAAAGAAGTACGGCAGTTCGCATTTCGCTTCAGGAGTGATCAAGATAGCTTCAGCCCGCGGTAACGCTGACTTACGAGCGGGACCTGACGAGTATGGGAACAAGGTAACTATAGTGCTTCTTTCCAAAAAAAATTTTCTACAGAAAATGCATGAAATTGCATGTCCCACCAGTGGGAGAACCAGTGGGTGTTGTGAGGCTCTCCCTGCCAGATGAGCAGGGCCTACTCACTAAAATCTGACGGTGTCCTTCCAAAGTCTTTGGGACGGTACTGCGAGTTATTATTGTCCGAGCTAGACGGCCTAGACATTTTTTCGCGGCTCCGTCCCAAACTATGGCTCGCTCCAGACAGGCATGGGCCTGGCATTAAGGTCGTCGTTTCAGCCAAATGACGTCCACTGCTGGACAAAGGCCTCCCCCAAGGTTTTCCATAATGAGCGGTCCTGCGCTGTCCGCATCCAGGCATTAAGGTACACCAAAGAAACCGTTGTGACTTGCAGTTTGCGGTCTACAGTCTATTTCTATTTGTTTTGATACGTGTGTGGAGTTTGGACATTTTTGACTGAGTTTGCCAAATGTTGGTCTCGAAGCGCTGGTAGGGTAAAAAGATTATGAGACATGTAGAGGCTCCTTAAGAGCAAAATATTTGACGATTTGTAAGAACTATTTAATAGTCTATACAAATAAAGAAACTTTGACGTTGACTTTAACTTAAAAACAAATTTTATGAAGTTTCTTCTTTTTCAAGTTTATCATCCCCTTTTAAACATTGTAATCACACCACTTATTAATTTTGTAAGTCTTCCTCAATGAGATATATGAAATGTTTATGTTTTGGCAGATTTTATACGGAGGACCAGTGATGGACTTCCAGTGTCGTGGGCAACTGCTCACAAACAAAGTGCTGACCAATGGAAAAATGTGGGGCGACGATTTCCACGAATACTCCATTACATGGTTGCCCGGTAAGTACCCAATAAACCCAAGTAAAATATCCCAGAAGAAAGTTGACGGTCTCAAAAAATAGGTAATTAATTAATTTATCCACAACGAGGAAGCTCCTAGCCTGTATCTCACCTGATGGTAAGTGACGATCAGGCCGAAGGTGGAAGTGAGCTTCACCCGGAATCCTCAACCACGGAGGAACTGGCTATCTTACCTCTAACTGCCGGAACACAACAATGCTGTTAACATTGTTCACTGTTGGATGCGGGCAGCGCCGGCCCTTGTGGAAATCCTCAGGGAGTACTTTGCCTAGCAGGTTAAAATCAATAATAGAAACACTTACATTTACTGACTAGAAATCGTGGTGAATCGATTTATTTTTTGTTTTTTGTTCGCTAAGGTATTTTTTGATAGGATACAAGCATATTATAATAATCTGGCGTGTATTTTTTTTTAAGTACAGCAAAGACAGGTCTTTGAAGGTGTCCCCCATTAAGTGGGGGCGTGGTGGGTCTCGCCGTGTAGGGCGGGACGTCCGCGGAAAGCGCCTCAGTCGTTTCTAGTACCCAATGCGCCCACCACTTTGCGGCAGAGAGAACACCCCAAGTTTTATTGGGTTCGAGCTCCACATAATCTGCCATCCCCCGGCGGTAGGTATGGATATATAAAATATCTCCAAAACTACCGAAGTTATTTCTATTAAAAGAAATCGATTCCTAAAATAAAATCTGTTCGAAACTCATGCTCATAAAATAAAAACGACTAAGTTAAACTAAATTAAATTGTTTATGGGACCAAATGGCAAGTATCTATTATCGAACAAAAAAGAATCACATAAATCGGACGAAAAATCTGTAAGTAATCGGTGAACATCGATTACATAAATATACCTAGACGACGTAATCACGACGTAATTGTCACAAACAAAGTGTCACGCGAGCATGCTAAAAACTAAAAATGCTCATAAAATAAAAACTACTCAACCAAATCAAATAAAATTTTTATGGGACCAAATGGAAACTATTCCGCATCGATGAAAATAAGAATCATGTAAATCGGCTCAGAAAACTCGGCGTAATCGATGTACATACATAGAAAAAAAAAGATACCAACCAAATTGAGAACCTCCTCCTTTTGTTGAAGTCTGTTAAAAAGGTCTTTGAAGCTCCTATTTCAATATTAAAATGTGTTTGTTATAGACCAGATAACGCTGTCAGTGGATGGCGAGCAATGGGCGCGCGTGGACGGCTCGCGTGCGCTGCGCGATCGCTTCCCGCAAAGATGCGCGTTACCTCGCACGCTGCTCGCTAAGGGATCCAACTTGGCGCCATTCGATGACCACGTAAGTCAATGTTCCATCATCACCGTCAGGCCATTTATATTCTTTGTTTGCAGCAGAACCCTTTATAATATTGGAAGCAATCGAAGATTTGGCCTAAACTCCCCGCGCTACCGATATACCTACCTTATGTACGCGTAAAATAGTGTCATTTAACATACATATTCATTATAATAATTTCGTATACTTGAATCACCTTAACATCTGATGCATAAGCCTAAGGAGTCATATTTATTTACTTCTAGTCGATAAATGAATTATGATGCAATTTAGGACTCATCTAACTCCTGCATCACTAATAATGTTGCAAAACCCCATTCTCAAAAAGAGGAATTTTCGCCTGTTTACCTAATAATATCAGGTAGGTAAAGGGTGTGTGAAAGTATGTAATTAACGCATGATTTGCTTAAATCAATAGATTATCTCAATTTATTATCACTAGCGACAACTTTCTTCGTTCGTTTCAGTCAAATCACACTGCTGGACAAAGGCCTCCCCCAATAAATTAATTATGATGCAATTTGGGACTCATCTAACTCTGCGTCACTAATATTGTTTCAAAACCTCATTCACAAAGTGGAATTTTTGCCTATGTTTACCTAAATATCAGGTAAAGGGTATCTGAAAGTATGTAATTAACGCATAATTTGCTTAAATCGATTGATTATCTCAATTAACGAACGAAGAAACTTTCTTCGTTCGTTTCAGCCAAATGACGTCCATTGCTGGACAAAGGCCTCCCCCAAGGTTTTCCACAATTAACGGTCCTGTGCTGCCTGCATCCAGGCTCTTCCCGCGACCTTTACCAGATCCTTTGTCCATTTAGTAGGAGGCCTGCCCACGCTAGTTCTTCCAGCCCGTGGTCGCCACTCGAGAACTTTTCTGCCCCAACGGCCATCGTCTCTACGAGCTATGTGTCCCGCCCACTGCCACTTGATTTTAGCAATTCTGCGAGCTACGTCGGTCACTGATTCTCCTGCGGATCTCCTCATTTCTGATTCGATCACTTTCTTCCAGTTCTACCTAACTCTGGGCGTAGCCGTGGGCGGTATCAGCGAATTCCGCGACGACGCTTACTCCGGGGACAGGGCGAAGCCCTGGAGAGACGTCGCCCACAAAGCCATGCTCAGCTTCTGGGAGCACCTGGACTCCTGGCAGCAGACCTGGAACCAGCCTGAGCTGGTGGTGGACTACGTCAAAGTGGTCGCGCTGTGATTGTAATTGTAATTCTAGTCAGAGTGTTGGCACTCAAAATGTAGATTAATAATATAATTGTAAAAGTGACTGGCTGTTTATTTGTCTAACTTCGCCCGCGTGGACTACATATTTTTTTCCAAAATAAAATGTAGCCTATGTTACTCGTGGATAATGTAACTTTGGAATGGTGAAAGAATTTTTAAAAACGAACGGTCCAGTAGTTTTTGAGCCTATTCATTACAACCAAACAAAGAAACAAACAAAGTTTTCCTCTTTATAATATTAGTAGATTAAGGCTGAACCAGCGTCGTCAGAGATATTTAGATGATTTCGACAAGTGTGATTAACAGTCGTTCGTAGGATTTCCACAGCGATGCGATTTTTTTTTGTTATTTTATTGCTTCAACCTTCAAGGCTTTATTTAAAACTAGCTGACCCGGCGAACTTTGTTCCGCCTTAATGGCAATAAATAACGGGATAAAAAGTATCCTATGTCCTTCTCCTGGCTCTAAACTACCTCCCTGACAATTTTCAGCTAAATCAGTTCAGCCGTTCTTGAGTTATAAGTGGAGTAACTAACACGACTTTCTTTTATACAGGGTGGAAACGATAAGTGATCTCACTCGATTATTTCTAAACTATACAAGATATCCAAAAACTGCTTACTGATCCTAAAAGTACTTCATGAGCTCTATCCAACGGTACCAATAATAGGTTACATAATAAATTGGATCTATCTGAAAATTCAATGTTTCCAGCCTCCATACATTTAGTAAAACCTCATAATATTAAAAACTATACAAGATATCCAAAAACTGGTAACTGATCCTGAAAGTACTTCACGAGCTCTATCCAATGGTACCAATAAAAAGTTATAAAATAAACTGGATCTATTCGCAAATTCAATGTTTTCAGCTTCCATACATTTAATACTGCCACAATCATAGCACTCATGTCTTGATAATATTATAGCAAGTAAAGCCTAAAACCAATGTTTTCCGTGAATAATTTTAAATAAGAATGCTATTCACGAATTAATTTTAAGTGTTTATTATTTAAAATAAAAAAAATTAACACTTCTAATATTGTGTGGCTGGCATAGTGGCATACATTTAGTATGGAGGCTGAAAACATTGAATTTTCGGATAGATCCAGTTAATTCTGTAACCTATTACTGATATCGTTTGAAAGAGCTCGTAAAGCACTTTCAGAATCAGTAATCAGTTTTTCGATATCTTGTATAGTTTCGAAATAATCGAGTGAGATCACTTAACGTTTCCACCCTGTATAATAGATGTATTTTATTACTTGATATTTATGGTAGTAATCGATTGATATTAAAGGTAAAGTAAATAAAACATCTTTTTTTAATTAAAACTATGTAATTAGTTATGTAGGTAACTTAACTATTTATTCAGTTCATACAGTTCGTTCGAGTAGCGATGCAAGCATCTGTAATAAAAGAAAATAAAATTGATGTCTAGGTCACAATATATGAAACATGTATTTGAATCTAGTTAAATTAGTATTATGATCTACATGTACAGTGGGCCACAGTTCGAGCTACCCATTTCCGATTTTTCTCTCGCTCTCATCAAATGGCTATTCTTTGCGATAGAAAGAGACGACATGACCGAAAATGGGTAGCTGGAACTGTGGCCCTTAGTAAAAATGAATTACATTATCCTTTCAGCTTAGGGGAACCACTGAAAGAATCCCTGTTGCTTGTAAGGAAGAACCCCATTTATTGTCGTTTGCCCTTTCTAACTGACGTAACTGACATTTTGCAAAATTTTCAGGCGATTAGACAGATCAATTCGTCTTGCAAAATTGATTATGATGGTGTAAATAACTCAGTTTCGAAAAAAATGTCAGATACGTCAGTTAGAGAGGCAAGCGACGTTATGTGAGTTTTCTTGGGATTGCCGTAGAATCTGACCTACGGATTAAAACATGGTGTTACCACCCTACACACCTTTACAGCGCGTAGACTTTAACATACTCCACTTGGAGTTGGTTGGTGTCCGGGAACCAGGTGCCGAACCACTGCTCGCGGGCTTCCCAGAACCTCAGCATGGCTTTGGAAGACTTGTCGTACCACGGCTTGGAGTCACCGTCGGGGAACTCGTTCAAACCACCCACGTTGAGACCAATTGAGATGTAGAACTGTGGGAGTTAAGAAAAAGAAGTGATGGATCACATTTTGGTCTTAGTTAATAAGTAAAGAAATATTTTATTTTAATTATTAATTCGTTTCAGCCAAATGACGTCCACTGCTGGACAAAGGCCTCCCCCAAGGTTTTCCACAATGAACGGTCCTGCGCTGCCCGCATCCAGGCTCTTCCCGCGACCTTTACCAGATCGTCGGTCCACCTAGTAGGAGGCCTGCCCACGCTACGTCTTCCAGCCCGTGGTCGCCACTCGAGAACTTTCCTGCCCCAACGGCCATCGTCTCTACGAGCTATGTGCCCCGCCCACTGCCACTTGATTTTAGCAATTCTGCGAGCTATGTCGGTTACTTTGGTTCTCCTGCGGATCTCCTCATTTCTGATTCGATCACGCAGGGAAACTCCGAGCATAGCCCGCTCCATCGCCCTTTGGGTGACCTTGAGCCTTCTTATGAGGCCCATAGTAAGCTACTACTATAGGCCTCAATTATTAATTAGGCCTTCCTAATCCTTCTAAAGGAATATAGGCCAAATCCTCTATTGCCACTGGTAAATTAGAGTCGATCAGACTCTTTAGTTGAGACTTATAATGATGAGGAAAGAAATCAAGGACATCAAAAGGATCTTAAAGATCATTTTCAAAATAAAGTTGACCACAATCGAATCCGGGACTAAATGCGTCTATCTAGCCAAGTAATGGTGAGTACAATATTATCATTTACTACATGTGCCCGCGACTTCGTACCTACTCGTGAAAACAGTTTGAATAATATTTTCCGTTTTTTAAACCCGGATTTATAACTGACAAAAACCGAGTTCCAAATTGTGTCGGTTATCCGGTTTTTCGGTTATCCGGTTAACTGGTTTGCATGCCCTACTCCGCTCCTATTGGCTGTAGGGTGATGTTGTATAGAAGCATGTAGCATATAAAAGAAGGTTTTACGGCTATGCTGTCTAAATACCATTTCATCAAAAGGTGCCATGGCTGTACCCTTCAGCCACTGCGAGGCGGCCGCTACGTCATGCTTCTTGGCATCTTCGAAGAACCCGGCTCCGGGAGTAACCTCGCCATACTTCTCACCGTCCACCAGGAGAGAGATACCGTCTACAAAATACAACAATAGTTAGTCTTACCCAGCTCTTTAGTACATCCAGTTAATTTAATAACTGTCACCGAAAGCACAAAGAAAGGATTTAATTATGTAGATTGTATCATCCACGAAAACGCGCCCCACCACTTTTTGGTCGAGGGAAGCGCTTGGTGCAGGAAGTTTGATCCGAGCAATCCCAGCGTCATTATTGTAGTGTGCGTGTGCATTAATAAATAAAATAACAAAAAGTGGTGGGGCGCGCTTCATAAATGATTAACGATCTATACCTACCTACTTATTGTATTTAGACTTACCGGGTCTCCATTCAAGGGTGTAGTTGTGGAAATCTTTAGCCCATTGCTCGTAGCCGACCTTCTCCTTCAGGTGAGTACTCCTGTAAGTAAATCACAGTAGAAATTAAAAGTTATTTAAGTGTTCATGTAAATGTGGGCATTCGTATTTTTTCTTTTTTCATGCCTACCCGCTTCTGTCAAATAATTTACCCAGTTATTATTCGCTGCTTTCTACACTAGTCTACGAATTGATGTGGCTCACTCCGGACGTCGTCGCGAATCGGAGTCACTACCTCTTCTTTCTGGAACCTTCTATCGTAGAAGTCCAGCTAAGAATCGTAGCTAATGCTAAAGACCGAAATATTGTGTGTATTTTGTGAAGTGCGCTTTTTAATTGTATATTAACCCTACTGCCTTAACTGACTGAGTCGAGGATGGTCCTTCATCATCTTCCATCTTCGAGGGCAGACAAGAGATTGGGAACCGCGGTTCACGCCCCTGAAACTGCTGGTGCTGGTGGATTTCAGAACGGGTGAGTGCGGTGTTTGTTCGTAGTGGTAGAAAGAAACAATCTTCCCTTTCTTTATCTCTTTTCTGAATCATATTAATAAATACCACGACCTATGGTCAATATTAATCCGCACCCGCTGCGCGAGTAGAACCTACGATCATAACCTCCTCAGTTGTACCTAAATTGTCACATCATCATGCTAGATAGGATATCAAAACCAGCCGCCACTGAACTGAATTTCTCCAAATTGGTTATTTAACGCTAGCTATAGCTTTCTGCAGTCATTACTTATTGGATAACTTAACCGCTCGCGGGATGGAAGCCTACGAGCGGATTATCACAAATTACAAATAATAAAACAAGCTTTAATGTACCTGTAAGGCTCATTGCCACACATGATGGGTCCACCGACGAGCTTCCTGGAGTACTCAGGGTTGCCCTTAGCGCAGGCTATGCGGAGGATGCCCGACGCGTAGTTCTTGACTCCATACACTTGGGCCAGGGGCTCCAGTTGAATGACTGTGAACAAATAGACCGGTATATTTACGTACAATATTAATTTAATTGATTTATTATTTAATGCTATAAATGCGTGCTATGCGTCCCTGGTAATATAGGATATTAATCAAATCAAATTGCCAAAATTAGGTGGCATTAGGCCGATCATACCTAGATATACCTCATAGAAGTGATGGCCGTCGGGACAAAGAATTTCTTGACTAGCGTCTACACGGGCCAGAAAGAATAGTTTAGGCAGGCCTCCCACTAAGTAAACCAGCAGGTTTTCACAGGAACTGTTATGGAAATCCTTGAGGAAAGGATGTCTTCCAGCAGTGGACGTCATTGGCTTAAAACGAACAAACGAATCAGATCAAAATGGCTAAGTTACGAATTCAGACTCAATTTCTGTGAAAATATTTTACAACGTGGTTTTGCGAAGCCTTACTTGGCACCAGCCAGTCTCCCACGGGCATCTTGGCGCGAACCTCCACTCGGCCGTACTTGAAGCTGAACTTGTTCCTGGTGGTGACTTTCGCGGTGATGATGGGCCGCAGGATGAAGGGCCCGGAAGCCTCTTGGACGCACTCTTGCGTGCCGACGGCGCCGGTACATCTGTGATAGCCATGGACATAGTAAATAATTTAAGTATGGGGTCTATTGCTGGATAAAGGATTGCACACTTATCAACCCGGAAACGTATCGTAACCGTATCAACTCGAGGAGGTCAGTATTCTTCGTATGAAACTCCGTACTGCATGTAACGCACACATATCCGCACCGTAACGAATGGCAATACGGCGTTGATCCCTTTCGGCGTTGGTAAGTGTGCTATGGCCTTAAAGGGGGAGGAATTTGTCCAGCAGTGTACCTACGACATTTGGCGGAAAGGAACGAACGATGGGACTATTATCACTTCTCGCTCTCACTGCTGTGCATTAAGGATCTACAGCTTGGCTGCCCATCAAAACCCAGCCAGTGATAGCCAAGTCTGAATGGTCCCAAGGAAAAGTACACGTTAATTTGGTAATATTCGTACGTGTGATTTATAAATGGAATGTCTCTCTGTTATACAATCACAACAACAACCGGGTATCAACTTAGGTAGAAATCCTATCATAGTTATCTACATCACTGAAGTAGAAATTGTATATGAATTTAAGGGAATAAGTACATATGCTCATAAATTAGTAGGTACCTTGTGGTCAGGTCCAAGGATTGTCGGATGTAGTCTTCCCCAAACTTGGATTCAAGAGTGACAGGCTTGATCATCAGCTTGCCGTCTCTCACTCGCAAGTTTCTGTCGTTGAGATATACGTTGAATGGGTAGTCCTGAAATATGAAGATTTGTCAAAAAATAAATACATAAACAACCGAAATGCAGGTGCGGTTGCGGTAGGTGCAGTTTTTGTAGATATTTTTTACCAATGAAGTTCATTTTATACAAAAAAGTAATTGTAAATCTAAAGCGACAATAGATAGCCCTTTGGCCTTTGGTGTCGACGTTTTGTCAGATCCGAGGTAGGTACACTGGTTCGAATCCCGCGCCGCTGGACTATTGTGGAGAACCTTCTTGTGACTTAAGCTTACTTACTTACTTAGCATACCACGAGGGGTTAACGGGACATTGTACGCGTAAGTAGAAAATACTAATATTCTTAAAAATGGGACGTTGAATGTATTCTTACCGGTTCACCTGGGAACAAGATCTCTTCCGTCCAAATTTTCCCTTTACTGAGAGGCCCGTTGAAGTTGTCTTCAAAGATCAGCTGGCCCTTACACACAAACCCTGGTACGGAGACCTTGGACAATGAGACTTCGCAAGGAAGATTCCCACTCAAGGTTGGTGCTGTTGATGAAGGAATGGACCCAGAATTTGGGTTCTGTGGGCCAGAGTTAGGTGCAGGTGACCTGGTAGCGTCTACAGGATTTCCTTGCTCGTCGACGTAACCTGAAAAAGGTTTGCAAAATTGTAGATATTATATTATTCATGTTAAACGTTTTTTTAAGCGGAGCTATAGCACATTTCAAGCATTGCTGTTTGGAAGAATGGATAGCCATTTATTTATTACATTTTGGTAAATTCCTTTTAATATCAGCCTCATCATCATTGTAAATAGATTAACGATCGAACATCAATATGCTACTTTTGGGATGTTGTCTATCAGTAAATTCTAGCATTAGTCTAAAACTACCTTCTTAAGTGGCCCCGAGACGATCACTCGCGATTGTCAATTCTACGTGATTGTGAGGCATTGAAGCGATTGTCAATTGAATTTACGTGATTGAAGCAAATTGATGATAAATTTAATTGAAGCCTAATTGGCAGGTGCCATTGAAGCTAATATTGATCATTTAGCTGAGCAATAATTGACAATCGTTTCTGTCAATTGGAACGTAAATACATTGACAATCGCAATTGATCGTCTCGGGGCTGCTTTAGACAAAAATCTCACCTGTGACAGTCCATTCTCCATTATCCTGTCTGTATCCTAGGCCATCTTTGATGACGTACGTCCAGAAGTAGACCTTGTCCCCTATCTTCAGCTCGGCGTTCCTGTCCCTGAAGGTCCACCGACCGTCCTTCACCTTGGTGATGTCCCGGGACCAGAAGCCAGCTTCCAGACCGTCCATTTCTTCGTTGAGCTTCCCGTGGAAAGCGAAGAGTGAGAAGCCATTGTCTATCAAAGATTAAAGTTGACTTTATTTGTGGTCCTGTAACTATGATCTAAATCCTCTAATACTATTAATGCGAAAGTAACTCTGTTTGTCACGCCTAACCACTGAACCGGGAAAGGACAAAAGATAGTTTTTATCTTGGTTATTGAACAGGGACGCGCGCGTTAGTTTTTCTGTGACAGAAAAATTTTTACGAGGGCAAAGCTGCGAGTAAAAGCTACTAATTTGACAAAAGTTTTGTTGTTGATTTAATTTAATGCATTTTCTTGGGTTTAAGAGTAAATTAATCTGGTTCAAAGCATTTAAAAATCTTCGTAAAATATTCAAAACGTGCGGTATGTTTCCTTGCGGATTTTCCGCATTTGGACTTTTTTATTTACTAAATCCAAAGCTCTCAATTAATAAAAGCCGTAAAATCTTAACAGCACAAGTTATTAAGTAATCAAATAATGTCACAACTGCTTAGCGATTAAGTGTAAAAACTTTTACGTTCAAAATTAAAATAATTCTAGTACAGGAGTTGTTATTTATTGATCGCATATACTTATGAAATGTTTAAAGTCCTTTTGAAATCTTGCAAAACAACAATACCTGCAATTAAAGAATTAGACACACTCGTAAGTAAACTGAAACCGAGATTGTATTTAAATGTTTATTCTGACATCACCCATCTGCCCAGTGAGTAGTGAGGTCGTTACCACAAAACTGGTTCTTATTCCAACATTTAAGTTTTGGTTGGAACTGTGTTTTCCCAGTTGCAAATAAGAAGGATAACTTGCATGCCTGCTAAATATGTATGTAATGTAGGATGGTAAGTTGTAGCTATTATGAATAACTGTACCTACTTAATGTTATCTAATAAGTAAAATACTTAGGTCCAAGAGAGAGAGTTTTTTTTAAAGAAAATTAGGTATATTAATTTGTGCAAAGAACTAGTAGTCCCGTTAACTCCTCATACTAAGCTAAATATGCTTGTTTTAAAGAATAGCTAGGTTCACGACAATAGTTCAGAGGCGGCGGGCCCAGTCCGACCCCATCACCGTTCTGCTATCGGAGCTTCGTATCAGCTAGGGGGTTTGCCCTGTCAAACAATTTATTTGACTATGTGTGATAGCAACATAGAAGATTAGCTAGTTGTTAAATTACCGTTAAAAGACGTCAGACATTATAGCCTTCATTAGAGATGTCACTGACTGTGGTTGACTAAATTAGCTTATGAATGGATGGCCTTCACTTTTTACATGCGACAGTTATTTTAAGTAAGTATACCAGAATTACTAAGGCTGAGTTGCACCACCTAACTATAAGGCCCAGAACAGAAGGTGAAACGCAACTGCAACGAAACTGCAACTGCTAGTTACTTTTGAGTTGCATCTAAGTTTCTGCCATAGCGTCCGTTGAGAGACCACACATGACGCGACCAGTTTGAAACTTCCAGTTTCAGTTTCATTCATCAGAATCTTCAGAAAGTTGCAATTTCCTTGCAGTTGCGTTTCACCGTCAACAGACGCTTAGGTCCAGAACACTGGGCCTAACCGTGACTATAACGATAACCGGTGTGTTTTGTATGGAGTTTGAGACATTTTTTTACGTTTGTCAAAGTTAAAATGAGATGGTGCAACCCAGACTAAGACTTAAGTAGTTTATTACACAAGTTAAATTGATTTCTTTATTTATTTTATTCTGATGTCCAACATCCAAATATTTCTTCCTTACATCTTCTACAAACTATTAGAACCATTTTTTATTTGATTGTATTCATAATTTTAAATTAAATATTTGCATTAAGGGTTATTTGTTATCACAAATTCCAGCTAAGCTAAATCCAATGCTTATGAGTGGGTTCACCACAATAATCCAGCTGTCGAATCGGCATTCCCATGCATAGACCTGTGGCTATAGTCACCTTATAAATTATAATTAATCGAAGTTAGGTCAATTAAACAAAGCTTTTGTTATTTTACTAGCTTTTGCCCACGGCTTCACCCGCATATTTATAATATTTTCCATTTTCGCAACATTTTTCATTTCTGCTCCGCCCCTATTGGGTGTAGGTAGGGTGATGTTATTAGCCTATTAGCCTTCCTGAATAAATGGGCTATCCAATACAAAAATAATTTATCTTATTTATCTAATCAAACTACGAAGCATTTGTTTATTATAATCAACACTAGCTTAAGCTCGTGAATAAAAAAGCTCTTACAAAAACCTCTTTACTTACTTATCTATTTGTTTGGCCTTCATAATTATTATGGACCGGTCAGATGGGATCTTTTACCTTATTCAGAACATCTTATTAATTATTTCTTAATTATCTTTTACAATGGACCCTGTAGTAATCAAATATTATGACTTTCGTAATTTTGAGGAGCTCACATAATATTTATCCGGAAAGGTACTAAGGTAGTGCTTTTTAGAGGCCAAGTAGAAGACCAAAACATATCCACCATATTTTTCTTATCAATGCTTGGTATACCAATATTATATTTATAAATGTAATATTAGTTTACGTAATGTTAAAATAGCTAGTTCAATATTGTTAACCGCAAGTATCTGTGGTTGTCAATAACAACTTTATAACTACGTTTTAAGGCAATTTAATAACCATTTAACAATACTTCGGAATTCGTGGAATAATAAAAACTCAATTTAACACAGGCGGATCTAGATATAATTTTATTGATCTTACTAGTAAAGACTTTTTTGTTTACCAAAAACTGTCGAACTTAAATCGCTATAAGACGAGTTATTTTTTATTTGCAAAACTGTAAACCACGTAATTCTTATTTATATAGTGCCTTCCTATGGTTTTTCCTTTTAGGTCTTTACGAAATATCACTATTTGTGATTTTCCTTCATCCTATGGCTGTGTTCCTTTTTGTCTTAAATAAAATGTACTATTTCTGATTTTCCTTGGCATATAAATAACTTGAACCAGCTTTTACTATGCAGCTTTTCATAGGAAAATATTCGTATTTATAAAGAACTAGCTTTCCGCCCGCGGCTTCGCCCGCGTGGAATTTTGTCTGTCACAGAAAAACTTTATCGCGCGCGTCCCTGTTTCAAAAACCGGGATAAAAACTATCCTATGTTCTTTCCCGGGACTCAAACTATCTCTATGCCAAATTTCATCAAAATCGGTTGCGAGGTTTAAGCGGGAAAGCGTAACAGACAGACAGACAGACAGACAGACAGACAGACAGACAGACAGACAGACAGAGTTACTTTCGCATTTATAATATTAGTTGGGATAGTTGGGATGATCTGCGAGCTTGGTCTGATAGGTTGTGACGTATCTTTTGTATTTTTTTTATTTTTGTTTTCGTCTTGTTCTATATATCTATACCTACTATTATATAGTTTCAGAGTTAACCTCTGATAAACATACTTCTTACCACTACAAGAAAATTATTTTGTTACCTGGTATAGAAACCCTAAGTCCTTTAGGGTAGATGGCTTCAAGCTTTGCAGGCGGCACATCAACTCGACACAACACAGTTTCTAAACCTAACAAAAGCACCACTGAAATTATTTTTGAGCCTAACATTTTGGATTAGCTCATCACTTTTTATGTATGAATGACAGAGACGTGTCTGTCTTGCCCGACGTGTGGTCAACTACTGATGATATAGGTAAGCGTTGTTTGTAGCTGACCGAAAACCTGTTGTTAAGTTAATGCGTTTTTGTTTGCTATATAAACAACGCTTTGGCTAAATAATTCAAGTTCTATTCTTATTTTTAAATGTAAGAGATGTGGGTTTTCTAAATCTATATGAAATAGGAAGTAGGTATCTAATTTACAGGTTTTTATTAACAAGGCCTAGCAAACTAGGGGATAGGGAGCCAAATGTTTAGCTAAATGTAGTATAAGAAGGTAGCAGGAAGGTGCTGGATGCAGGCCGCCACCAACCGGCCATTGTGGAAATCATTGGGGGAGGCCTATGTACGGATGAAAAAGTGGGAAAAGCCTGCTCCTTAGGTACATAGTCTCCCACTTAGTACATCCGGCAGTAGACTTCCGTTGGCTAAACAATGATTGTTTTTACGAGTATAATTTCGTTAATTGTAATTGAGATAAACAAACGAAAATATCGATATAGTCGATATGTCACAGGACTATGGGAGCACAGGTATCATTACTATCATCATCAGGTATTTTAGTCTTTATTGCAATAGCACTAGTCTCTGTAATTGATTGAGGAAAATGGAGGATTTAAATGTCTCTGTAATTGAATAGAGGAAGATGTGGGATTTGGCTTACGCCTGCCGGGATAGCATGTGCGCCATGATACAAATCTTATCAACGACAATCTTAGCGACAAATGTATCGTGCAAATCAGATAAAATCCTTGGTTAAAAGTTTGTCATGATGTGCATCCTAGACCTACAGGGTGAGAAGGCCAGATATTCACATATTAGTCTCATAAGAAATTGCTGAAACTTTATAATAGTTTTAGTCAAATTAAGAATACTAAAGTGCCTGGATGCTAGCGGCGCAGGATAGGTCTTCGCGGAAATCCTTGGGGGAAGCCTTTGTCCAGCAGTGGACGTCTTTCGGCTGAAACGAACGAACGAACGAAGAATACTAAATTAAAGAATACCAAAACTAGTTTAAATTAGTTTTAGTCAAATCAAATGGTGTTTACGTCAAAAGTGGACACCCGTTGTAATTGAATCATTAGAAAAACCGGTGGCCGTGAGACTAAAATATGTTTTTAATTGTTTTCTGTGCTAATAATACAAATGAGGGGTTATGTTGGCAGAACCTAACAGTAAGTAAGTATTGTACTACATTGCATCTGAAAGTGAGGGCTGTTTTCCATGGGGTCATCCCATTTTTTGCAGGACCTGCAAAACTGGATTGCGGTGGGAAAGGGCCCTATGATTGGTTATTTGCCTTATACCCAACCCTTTACCAGTCCACAATGAGCCCGCGTGAGGGGGAGTATAGTCTGAGCTACCCCACAGTTGGGATGAGACCCACAGTTGGGATAAGACCTATACTGCAGTGGGACGTTCAAGGGCTTACTTTGCTTTGTATACTCGCAGAAAATTACTGTGTCTGTCTACCCTCCAAGGCACAAACTTTGTGTCACTTCTTCCATTTCCTGATAAGGTTGGAAGTTGGTTATTTTTTATTTTTAACTAAAGGATTAACTTTCTAGAACGCTAGGGTTGGTACTGACGATAGCACAGTATACTATCTTCCCTAATACCTATTTTTGTTGTAAAATCTATTTATTTTATTATTTTGAAGTATGAAGTTAAGTCTATTAATCAACAGGAAAACTGATCATACTTATAATGCTGATAACTGGTGCTGATTTTATTTCCTAAAAAGGAAATTGTAAAACGTCTTTGTATGTATGTAAATAAATAAATAACTGCATTATCATATTTATGTTTTAATTTATTGTATTATCAATGTTACATTTCACTTAAAGCTATATCATTGAGCCAAGGGTTAAGCTATAGGTAATTAGTTCAATACGACAGTGTAAAAAGTATAATTTTTCTGAGTAGTCTTTGTTAAAAATACAAAATAAAAACTACAATTAATCAATCAGGCTTTTTTAAAATTAATACCTACACTTTATAAATGCGTTATAATAATATTAATGTTTTCACTGGAGTTTAGAAAATGAATTCGCAGTTGAAGTTCAGGAGAATTACTTGGGATCCACGGGGTTGCCATTCTCATCGACGTAGCCTGCAAAAAATAATATTCTAACATTAAAAACAAGACATACAATCGACACTGACGAACACGAAAATGGTTAATATTATTTTCCTTGATTTTAGTGATCCATGTCAACAAGGATAAAATATATTTTTTCTATTTTTCAAATCTATTTTTTATCAAATTAAGTATTCTAGACCTTATATGCTACTGAAAGTACGATGTTGTTTACTTGGAAGTCTTTTTTTCGAGAAATTCTTTCTGATCGGTTTATCAAAGACAGAAGAATTAAGGTTGCAAAATCAGAACCGGATTGAGAATCTCTTCGCCTTTTTTGGGGGTAAAAATGGACATAAAATTAACTAGTCCTTACCTGTCACAGTCCATTCCCCATTGTCCTGCCTTTGTCCCAGTCCATCCTTGACAACGAAGGTCCAGAAGTAGACGGTGTCCCCGATCTTCAGTTCGGCATCACGGTCCCTGAAGGTCCATCTGCCTCTCCTGGCTTTGGTGATGTCCCGGGACCAGTAGCCCCCTTCTAACCCCTCCATTTCCTCGTTGAGTTTCCCATGGAACGCGAAGAGCTCGAAGCCTTCATCTGTGAAATATTAAAATTTTATTGAACTTGCTACCTGTACCGGCTTCGCATAGCTTGACGGTCGCAAAAACCTTCCTCTTGGAACACTCTCGCCCGTATTCACAAACCTTACTATGAGGTCTCACAGTGCGCGTGAACGCACAGGGTAGGGTGACAGGCGAACCAATCACAGAGTTCTATTCAACGCTGTGCGTTTGATTTGCTGTTTCACTTAAGCTAGCATCGTTTGTGAATACGTGCGTCTATCTATTGCCAAAAACTGCATAGAATACTTTGCGTAGTTTAAAAGATTTAATAAGCCTACAGACGGTGTAAGCGACTTCACTTAAACTATGTAACAAAAGTACCTACGAGTACTTCAAATTTTTACACTTTATGTTTAGATCATATTTCTTGAAATCTTTTTTGGACAACTAAGTTGATCGGAGGTTTTTAGAAAGTAAGGAATTGGAGCCTGCGAGTCCTAAATAAAAATGTAAAAATAAAAGTAATTGTATCCCATCTGGTTGTTGAACCCAGATCCTCCAAGGGATTATTAAACAAAGAGGCGATGCGATGCAGTTTTAATGTATGTAGGCAAAGAAGAAACCAGCTTGAGGAAAAAATATAAACAAACCAACTAAAGGGCTGCATAGTTGATAAACAAGTTTGTGTACATCTGCAGATCTTAATTATGCAAAATCTTGTTTCTCATAAAATGTTGTTAATTTAAGTATTGTTTGTTATTTATACATTGAAGTTTTTTAAGTTAAATTCGCTATTACAGACGAATTTACTATAAGATAGAGTTTAGTTGTATTTATTTACCCACGGAAAAGCGTTTATATTTGGTTGATTAGCTTCAGTTACTAATAAACAATGTTTACATAATAGTACTAAATTTTATTATTACTAAACGTAAACTAAACATAAAGCCCAAAAAAATATTTCCTGAAACGATACATTTAACTAATTGAACATTTTCATCCCCTAAAACGCCATGATTCGCCATCCTCTATCTAACATTTTCAAATGTTTATTGTATGTGTTAATATCTCAATGTTTCTTATGTAAACACAATTTTAAAAGACTTATCTATTATTTAAAAACTAAGAAACAACCGGCTATTTATTCAAAATCTAAGGAACAACCGGTAAATTAATTCAAACCAATTTCATTAATTACCTGGAATGGATACTCTGAGTCCTTTCGGGTATATAGCTTCTAGCTTCGCATCTGGTACTTTAAAAGCACACAAAACAGAGTCGAAGAGTACCAAGAACAACACACAAACAACTGTTGATGAGAACATTGTTGAAGACATGCTTTAACTTCAACTTCAACTGCTTTAACTCTGATTATTGTGTCTGTCTGGCTCGCTATGCAGCCAGCAACTAAGCTACGAACTTGCGAGATCTGGATTTATATATTTTAGTGGTCATATAATTTTTTTATCCATATTAATCGTATAAGTTATGATTATTTTGATTAGGTGTCTGAACTTTGGGTCGATTATAAAATTATCTTGTTTTTGTTTGGGGAATACCAGACTGTAGTTGAACAGGGGAAAATTGATATGGTGATAACAGGGTCAAACAGAGACGTTATGTCAGATGCGATATAATCAGACTGTACATAGACAATACCTACTATCTGATACCTACTATTTAATTTTGATACCTACTATTTGAATTGATTAGTTGATGACTTTTGTATTTTGTTCTCGTTTAGAAAAAGAGGTTTAAAAAATAGATTTTACGACTGTAGACAATGGGATCGCATGATAAAAAGTAAAAAAACTATGATTAATTAATTAGTTGTTAGGTATGTATAATTATATCAACCATTTTCCTATAAAACATAACATAATTCTTACTATAAAGCTAATAGTTCCTCTTGAATCATACACTTATCTTTTTATACAATAACATTGTGAAGAACAAAACAGGAAAACTTAGAACTCAAGTTATGGCAACAATTTGATTTGCCACATGAGGAAAATCCAACTAATGTTGCTAATTGCATAGCAATAGCGGCATAATAATAATTAAATTAAATAACCCCATATTTCTTAATAACAATAAAAGCCATTAATTTTTCTTTACAATCTTAATAAAAGATCACTTAATAAGTATGCGAGTAACAGAAAATTGCGAGTAAGAAAAAAAAGAAAAGACAAAAGTAGCACATAAAACATTACAAAGAAAGAAAGTGAACTAAGTAGTGCTACCCTGTCGCAACAGCGATGTCCAGCGCAATGGGACCCCACTCAGCATATGCCATGGCCCACGGTGACGAAGGCCACGGCGCTGGTTTTCAGAGTGCCCCATGCCGAGTGGGAATCACGGACTAGACAAAAGACGGTGTTTCGTTCGTTCGTTTCAGCCGAAAGACGTCCACTGCTGGACAAAGGCCTCCCCCAAAGATTTCCACAAAGACCGGTCCTGCGTCGCTCGCATCCAGGCGCCTCCCGCGACCTTCACCAGATCGTCGGTCCACCTAGTGGGAGGTCTGCCCAGCCCACGCTACGTCTTCCAGCTCGTGGTCGCCACTCAAGAACTTTCCTGCCCCAGCGGCCGTCAGCTCTACGAGCTATGTGCCTTGCCTGTGTGTCTTTTTTCTGACAAAAGAAGGTGTTTAATCAAATGAAATTAAAAACTTTATTACCTACTACGTATAATAATCGTTTACCTATCAAGGTTGGAATATTATGGAAAATGTGTGTGTGTGTGTGTGTGTGTGTGTGTGTGTGTGTGTGTGTGTGTGTGTGTGTGTACCCTATAGACAAAGGAGCATTTATGGCAAATTAAATTTCGCGATCGCTTCCATACATCATTCGGTTGCATTTTTTGTTACCACAAAAGTCCGTCGTTTTCCTCAATAAATTAAATTAGGTTTTTTAACCTTGGCACCTTTTGGAGCCAGTTTTCATTTTGAATTTTTTTTTCTAATTATCTAATATGTAATTTATACTATTAGGCGGTTATTACACTGCGCCGCGCACCGCCGCGGAGCGCGTGATTTCATATAAAAAATCACGCGCGCGGACGCGTTGTCAGTGTGAAGTGCCGCGCGTGTTTTCCATACAAACTGAGGTACTTGCATACAATTATTAAATCCACCCACGACGCGCTCCGTGACGGAGCGCGGCGCAGTGTGATAACCGCCTTAGTAAGCTGCCAGGTCTTTATCAGAATATCATTCCCATTTCAAACGTCATGCGAATGCTCAGTTTTCTTTACAAACTTTGTTTAAACGGTTATTTTCGGAGTTTTTCGTTTCGACCAAATGACGTCCACTGCTATACAAAGGCCTCCTCCAAGGATTTCCACAAATACCGGTCCTGCGCTACCCGCATCCAGGTACCTCCCGCTACATTACCAGTTCGGAGCTTCGGCAAAGAATCTTTAATTCATAAGAACAGTGTGCTTACCATGAGTTTACGTCAGATGTGCTCGCTAGCGACTGCGTAAAAAAATGACATTAATTGTATGACATATTGTGCAGCGCCCCTAGCGGCTACTTTGGACAAACAAAATCTTCATAGAGATTTTTGATGTACTCGCTAGCGAGCACACCTAACGTAAACTCATGGTAGGTACACAGGTAGTTCACTTACATGAGATTATAACAATTTACAACAGTTTTTGTCTTGTGACAAAGCACGCGCAAAGCTTACAAATAGGTATATGTACGAGTACCTACAACAACTGTTAACTGTCGAGTATGTACTTAATGTAAACATCTGTAACTCCATTGACACAGTAATATGGCCTATCATTTACTCAGGATTAGGTGTGACTGTGTGTGAGCTTAATATCTATTAACTCATTACACATCTTCTCTTTTTCAATGGAGACTTCTTTGATTAATTACTTATATTCATTTGGCGTTCTAAGCCATAAGCTACTGTTTTTGTTTCATTCATCATCACCAGGTAGTTTCGTCTCCACTGCAGGTCAAGACAGTCTCCAATGTAGATATCGAAGGCTTTCCATTTGGTCAAAACTCCCCACGCTGGCCAGACGGCATGTGGATGAATTGGATTTCATTCATCATCATCATCATTTCAGCCATAAGACGTCCACTACTGAACATAAGCCTCCCCCAATGACTTCCACATCGCACGGTTGGTAGCGGCCTGCATCCAGCGCCTTCCTGCTACCTTTATCAGGTCGTTGGTCCACCATTTCATTATATGAGTTTAATTCTGTGCTGGCGTACAGAAGTTGGAATAGTAAGATGGTGGGGGTGTCTCTACCAACACCAATAGTCGGCAGTGTCGTGATCGTGACGTCATAGGGTAGGCTGGGGTAACTTTTGAAAACAGTTCAAAATAAAAACTAGTCTTATCAAAATTTATTGAGCAGTAAAAAGGAATCACAGTCTTCTTAACTTATTCTATCACAGTGCGTAGACCTTGACGGAGTCTACCAGCATGCTGGCGTCGTACCAAGATGGCTGCCAAGTGTCGCGGCTTTCCCAGAAGTCCAGCTTGCCTTTGGCGGCCCGGTTTCCCCAGGGCTTCTCTGGACTGTCGGGGAAGTCGTGGACGCCTCCTACGCGAAGGCCAATGGCAATGTAGAACTGAAATCAATCGTGTGTCTAAGTTAGAACAGATTCGTCTCAACCAAACGACTTCTACTGCTGGACAAAGGCCACCCTCAAGGATTTCCACAACGGCCGTATCCAGGCGACCTTCATTAGATGTTGTTTTCTCATCAGTCAGAGCCGTTCCAAACTCTTGCCGGACAATCATTTTAGTGTCGCTGCCAAAGCCACGATCACCCAAACTTAATGATACAACGTTCTGAACTATGTTGGGAGTATGCGCTGATCACACGCGCTGACAAACTTACCCGTAGGTCTGGCATTTACTAGCTCTTAGCCTATTCAAATCCAAATACACACCATTTCATCAAGCGGCGCCATGATGGTTCCTTTAGTCCAGAGCCCGGCATGAGGCACTAGGTTTTCCCGCCCACTGGCGGCGAAGCCATCTCCCGGACGAACGCTCCCGTACTGGCTGCCGTCGACGAATAGATCAATGCCGTCTGGAAATGATAACAATCATCATCAGATCATTTAGTCTTAGGAGCACGACCCTATCTAATTTACAGAGGCTGATGCAGGATTTGGGTTACACTCCCCACGATGCTCAGACGATTTGGGGAGGCTGGAAATAATACTAAAGCAATAATAGTAACATTATTGGCAAGAAAGGTCCCAAGACTAATTTACTCTACCACTGCTTCTGGACATAATATGAAAAGTGTTGAAAAGATCCTAAGAGATGCAGTCCCTAATTTGATGGCCTCTTTTTCAAAAGGGCAAGGTAGGGTCCAAATGAATTCTTTGGAACATACATAGCTATTTTGATAGTGCTATACGGTCTTTCTTTATAGATAAACTTTATTGATGTGTTTGATTTCCTAAGAATGAGAACCTTACCTGGTTTCCAAATTAAAGTGTAATTGTGGAAATCCTTATTCCAGTTGTCTATGCCAATCTTTTCCTTCATCAACAATGATCTGTAAGGTTCGGAGTCCGAAAGAACTGGTCCTCCGAAGAGTTTCTTGGCGTATTCCGGGTTTCCTTTAGCAAAGGCTACCCGCATCAGGCCAGATTCGTAGCGGCGGGAGCCGTAGATGTTGTCATGAGGCTCCAAGTTCAGTTCTGAAACAAACATGGGGTAAATAATTTGAGCATCAATCTGTCTGAATGGTAGAGAATAGAGATCACATCAGCTTAAAAGATTTGTTAAATTCTGAATTATTTAATTGATTCAGAAGAATGCATCGATATTATGAATGTTCTTATGATTAATTTTGTTGCGGGTCCAATGACAGTATAACTTTCCCCCAGGACAAACTTGAACTTCACTGGTTGGGTTTTACTGGCGGTCAAGCTGTAGATCCTGGCTACACAGGAGTTGCAGCGGTGGGAACGAGAGGTGGGAATAGTCCCATTTTGTTGAGAAAAATTAGACCGAGTTATTAAAGCGACGCTAGAAAGAGAATTGAAAAACTAGTCTAAATGTCGATGGCTTAAATGGTGAGAGTCATAATTTATTAAATATTGCTTGAGATTCACAACAGGGACAACAACTAAGGAACTAGCAAAGGTACGATGATAGAAGACATTATTTAACACGTAACTTACCAGGTATAAGCCAGTTTCCAGCGGGCAGCTTAGCCCTGATCTCCACTCGTCCGAACTTGAAGTTGAACCGGTTGCGGGTGGTGATCTTCCCGGTCATGACTGGTGGCAGAATTTGGGCTCCATTTGCTACCTGCTTGCACTCTATCGTCTCTAAGGTGCCAGTACATCTGTTGATTGAATTAATAAGTTAACCCTTAATAAGACAGGGGAATATAGTTCCCACCATATTTTTAGCCTTATTTTTGTTGTTGAGGTTCGCAAACAATGAAAATAAACTGTTATGTCCGTTTAAGGATAGTTTTGATGCGTTCAGTCTTAAACTATGTCATAGGAAGATAAAGAAATAATTTAGTCTATTGTAAAGATCTGTTAGGTATAGAGAATAAACTAAAAAAGGGAAAAGATTAACATTATAATTTGGACTTTGTGTTCAATGGTACTTACTGTTCTTACTTCCATGTATTCTTACCTATTTAAGCTCAAAGATTCGGTGACGAAGCCCTCGTGGTAATGTGATTCTAGCAGCACAGGAGTGATAGAAAGTCGCCCATTTTCCAATTTCAAGGTGCCGTCTGACATGTATACGTTGAATGGGTAGTCCTGAAACATGTAAAATAAACGTTAAAATAGATAGATGGTTTTTACTCGTACTTTTAGTAGTATTTTTGACTGACCGACATCTATCAACGCACAGCCCAAACCACTGGACGGTTCGGGCTGAAATTTGGCATGCAGGTAGATGTTATGACGTAGGCATCCGCTAAGAAAGGATTTTACGAAACTCCACCCCTAAGGGGGTAAAACGGGATCCACGCGTACGAAGTCGTGGGCGGCCGCTAGTAGATTATAAAGAGCTATGCTTGTTAATTTCTCATTTAACGTTAAACTGTGCACACCTACACAATGTTTGTTATGTGGCACATAAATTACAAGTTATTTACTACTCTGCTGATTGATAGAACGGATGTCACAACTTATCAAATAACTCCATTTGTCCTTATTTAACTTGTGGCGACTCTACATACAATACATGGACATGTATGGAACAGTGTTTACTTAGTTTTGGTGTGCTCTGGCCTGATGTGTATATTTGCAGAGAGCTTCAGCCACATGGAAAGCTTCATTATAAATCCTAAATCATATTACGTTAAGATCACATTTAAAAAATCTTACAGGTTGTAGCGGGAATCTGATTTCTTCGTCCCAGTTGTTGAGGTCTTTAATAGAAGACTTGTCAAACTCTTCGCTGAAGATCAGCTCATTTATACAGACTGAGTTGCGTCCTTGCACCACAGTCACGGATTTTGGACAAACAGATTGTGTTGGAGGAGGAGGATTCCATGTAGGGGGTTGAGATGGGCCTTGAGGAGGGCTCTGTGGTCGTTGCGTTGTTGTAGGGTCAGGTGGATTGGCGACATCAACCCTCTCGCCCTTTTCGTTCACGAATTCTGGAAAACGAATGAGGGTTAGCTTCTGGTGATATCATTAATAAAAAAACTACATATTTTATATTCGATTTTGTCCTTGGAGTCCTTTTTAGATTCTTAATCTTTTCAGAAGAAGTATCTAAAGTATCTGAAGCTTTATTTCAAGATTTCTAAGGTTTATCGGATCTAGACCTGTAAGAACTGCTAGGATGACTTCTACTTCAATTAGCCAGTCAGAAAAAGATCTCGATGTGAATTTTCCGTCTTAATTTGCTGATGTTTGCTTTATAACTACAGAATGAGGCTAATCAAAGTTTCCAACTCACCAGTGACAGTCCATTCTCCATTATCCTGCCGGTAGCCCAGCCCATCCTTGATCGCGTAAGTCCAGAAGTAGACTTTGTCGCCCAGCTTCAGCTGGATATTGCGGTCCCTGAACCAGAACTTGCCGTCTTTCGGCTTCACGATGTCTCTCGCCCACATGCCAGCTTCCAGACCTTCCATCTCTTCGTTAAGCTTGCCATGGAAAGCGACGAGGGAGAAACCGTCATCTGCGATTGGGAGAAATATTTTTTTAGTATATATGACATTTGAGTTCCATTATCGACTGCTCATAATCCTGTTACCCATCTCATAATCATCATCACTTCAGCCACAGGACGTTTCTAAATATAGGCTCCCCCAATGATTTTCACATCGCCCGGTTGGCAGCGGCCTGCATCCAGCGCCTTCCTACTACCTTTATGAGGTCGATCTATCTACCATTTAGTCTTCTGGAATATCTGTTTGTCGCCAAGATTATCATCTCGTTGTATTGAGATTCATGTGACTTTTACAACATAATGGATAATTAACAAAATGGAGAATGCTTCAAACATCGATTAATGTAAAAAATCTAATGTTTTCTATTCTATTGTTGTATTTTTGTTTATTAAAAATATTCACTTTTCATACATAGACCGACACATAAAAACATCCTTCATAAAACCCAATTTAGAATTTTAAAAATGCAAATTACTAAATAATTATACCGGTAATTATTTCTCAATTTCATATTTTTCCTCAACAGCCAGACTGGTTTTCGATTAGAATAAATTTTAATGGAGTAAGTCCCGTCTTATTTCACTTGCGGCTATTTTTGCAACAGGTTTGAAGGTAACAAAAACGAGTCTTCTCACGGATGATGGCGTAGCGAATATACTTACATTATAGTTCATTGGCTTTGGACAGTTTTGTTACCGTAACAAGCTAATCTTAGGGTCACTGCCCAGTAGGACTGCTACACACAAATCGCAATGATATTGGGTAGACACCTACGGTCAATAATTGTAGGAGTTGCATTGATAATGATTTTAAAACAGACACATATTATTATTAACTTAATAAAAATAATTAATCACAAAAAGCAAAGATTTCAGTAACTACTCTAAATGAATTGGCAAATTCTTACAATCCTAAGATGTACCTAGTTAACATGAATGACTGAATTTGGTTTCCTAGGGATTGCTTGTGTTTGAGATATTTTTAGGATGACTGTGGCTTTAATTTAGCACAGAAGAAGAGGAACTTGTTTATGTTTTTGTATTAATAAGATGTCCATTGTGAAGGTGAGAAAGAAAAGACGAAACGAAAGATTTGAAAGATGAGTAGGTACCTCAGCATTTGTATAGCTTTAGTCTGAAAACGAGTCTAATAGTTAGCCCAGAAAAAATCTGTCATTGACCGTCGTTCCACAATCAGCACTTATTATTATAGTTATTTCTATGGGGTTTTTACTTCTATTGTTATGTAGTTAAGTTCATCATAGCAGTTTGACGCCAAGACGTTTTTTCAATTTTTTTTTGTGCTTGTACTACAATTTTAATTCTAGCTAGTTTACAATGTTTATTGATATGTTTATGATATTCTTTAAAATATAAAACTTAATTATGGATACTTATTTAAATGCTATAAATATGTTCACTTATCTAGTAATTTATTAGGTAAAAATACCAAAGCTCAATTATCGAAATACTTAGTCGCAAAATCAAGGTTAAAGGAATAACTATGTGACGAATAAATGATGATGAACCTCAGTAATTATCATACTCGTATCTATACGGGTTATTTTTTTCGAATTCCTCGTCTAAGTTTTAGCAATTGGGTTTTTCAGGATACATTTTCGTTTTTCCTCATTCGTAAGGATGATTTAAGGAAAATGTGGTTAATTATAAGTAATGACAATTATAATATTGATATTAGAAATATTTTGTACTTTTCAAAAACAACAATTTGTGTTACAAAAAAAGGGCATTTTTTTAGAGTGGATAATTTTACAATTTTTGGTAAAAGTTCGTAGGAGTTGACTCGAGTTTTGACGTCGACGTTCAGGGGTGTAAAATGTTATGTCAGCTACTACCACAATATAGGTACTAAACAGCAGTGTCTCTCCAAAAAACAAGAATTAAAAATTATGATCTCTAAAAAGCGCTAAAATAATTCCCCCATCAATGATTTTCAAGGTTTTTTGTGTCAATTCTAGCGGAAATAGCGAACTTTTGAATAAAGAAAAATAGACATAACATTAAATACATGTGAATAATTTGGGTTTCTTTTTGTTCTTGAGATGTTGTATGCTAAGAGCATCGTGTGCTTTGGCTCTAAGACTTTCGATTGATACAAAATATTAGACCTAAAATGTAATCTATTGTGCTTCACTACATAGGATCTGTCAAGTGCACTGCACGTTTTTTCAGTGTGATTTGGACATTCACGTCCAGATTCCAGAATTGGACCCCAGCTCTTCATGACGAGGGTAGACAGGGCTTGGACACATTTAATGAAATAAAGATTTTCCGACTTTATTTCAGTGTTTATGTAGAGACTACGAAATTTAAACAGCTGTTGTATCAAATAAAGTTACTTCTTGGAACGCCGAAATGTTTTGGGTCGCAGAAAGAATTTTGATTTGTCAATAAGGAAAATATTATGTTCAATGTTTGTAATGAGAATTCTTATAACTAGATAAGTGTTGTTGACCAATTACCTGTTCAAAAGCATTGATCAATAAGAATCCCATTATTTATAGTCCTAAAATAGGTAACGTATGAAGGTTATCGTCGAGACGCATCATAATTATTACAAAACAAAAACACAAACACATAACTTGGTAAAAAACTTGATGTTTTTTTCCTGTTGCTGTTTTCTATCAAGGAAATCTTATCATAGGGTTTTTTCTAAGAAATAGTCTTATGATCTTACCTGGAATGGATACCCTCAAGCCTCTGGGGTAGATGGCTTCCAGCTTCGCCTCTGGGACCTTGTATTGATTCCGCTGGGCCGCGCAAACCCAGGCCAGCGCAAGTAAACAAACTAGTTTGGCTGTCATGACGTCCGCTCACTATGATGGCCGCCGGCAGACTGAGGTTGTCACCGCCAGATGGCTCGCAGTCTGCGCTCGCGCATCTGCAACGAACAAGGAAAACCTTAGAGGTGATTGGGAGTATTCTAGTTTGTTGACAGTATTCTTATCTAAAAGTTGCAATGTGAATAGGGCAAGTGTCATCTTTCTATGATTATAATTTTATTGACAAACTATTTAGGTATCGTCTCCACTGCCAGACTTGTTGTTAGTTATGATCTGTATGGGATTAAAAAGGTTGCATTTTCTTGAGAATTTGATGGTGCCGGTATTTTTGCTCTATTTCGGATCCTTCTACGTTTTGATAGGTGTCTTAATATTGATTACCTTGACTATTTTATTTGCACGTGGTGAAATAATATCCGATTTTTCCCAATGGATTTTCCTACCAAAAGAGTTAAGTTTTATTAATGTTTAAATTGGATAATAATAGGTTTATTTACTACAAAGCGTGATTAACTACTCACGTATCAAATTATATAATTGTTAGGGTTTTTATTAGGCTATCAAATTATAATAATTATTAGGGTCTCCAATGGAAAGGGCTCAAGTTATGTAACATTTAAGTAATTTAATAAAAATACTTCACTTCAGTAATTTACTCGTATAAAGCTTTTAAAGTATGTAACAAATCCTTCTATGATTATTACTGTATTATACTGTATAACCGCCTCATAGTCTAGTGGTAAGACCACCTGCTTCAGACGCAGAGGTCCCAGGTTCGATTCCCAGTGGGGGCAGATTTTTCTGCTCGGTTTGGTTGGTGGTAGGGCTTGTTCTAAGTCCGCTTGGCTAGCTACCACCATCTTACCTAAGTCTGTCGCCATAACAACAACGTTAACAGCATTGTTGTGTTCCGGCAGTTAGAAGTAAAATAGCCAGTTCCTCTGTGGTTGAGGATTCCGGGTGAAGCTCGCTTCCACCTTCGGTCTGATCATCACTTACCATCAGGTGAGATACAGGCCAAGAGTTTCCTCGTTGTGGATAAAAAAAATCAGTATGGCGCTAAATTTAATAGGCTTCCCAGCTTCCCTATGTGTAATGAGCACTACAAACTAATAAAAGCAGTCATGAAAAGTATCTGTAAGTACTAAATACACCTACATATTTCAAATACGGCCGTAAACTGGTACATTTTGAGATGTTTTAAAGTAACCGTTTTGAGCAAACGTAAAATTTATTGCGAACTAAAATACTTCAACTGAACTTACGTAAACTGCTCATTTTGTAGTTACAAATGAGCTAGTAAACAGTGAAGTGCAGTTGGTTAAACGTGTGTGGGTTTTATAAACGTGCTAAGGATTTGAAAACATTTAAAGAGCTTTATTTAACCACTACGTAAGGCTGGGTTGCACCGTTTTATTTTAACTTTAACAAACATCAAAAGTCTGTAAAACTCCATACAAAAAGCACCGGTTATCGTTATAGTTACGGTTTATAGCTATGGTGCAACTCAGCCTTAGTAAGTAAAAACATTGAGGTTAAAAACCTAACGATTTGGCACATTGCATTGGTTAAGATCTAAGAAACTACGCTACATTGTAGGTTTGATCCCTACATAACTTTTGTGTCCATGAACCTATTTCTTTGTTTTGGTTAAGATAAGTTTTAATATTGTATAAAATGTCTATTTATTAGTATGTGTAATATACCTATGTGCTGTCTGTTTGCCATTCATGAGCTTTAGGTACTTGCTACATCTATTTGTCTAAACACTGTTAATACGTACGTAAACAGCTGCTTGAATTTTGGTACGGCGAATTTTCTATTTCCATACAAAATTCGCCGTACCAAAGTTCAAGTCACATTATTACCCAAGTTTAATGAAATCCAACATATCGCTCTAAAGCTGGGTTGCACCATCTTACTTTAACTTTGACAAACGTCAAAAATCTGTCAAACTCCATACCAAAAACACCGGTTATCGTCAAAGTTACGGTCAAAGATAGGTGGTGCAACTCAGCCTAAGACTCTAAGTCACTTGTTTTAACTCCAGCTTGCATGAAATTATAAATCTATTGTCTGTCTTATTGGTGTGAAAATCACATTATTTGGCGAGTCTACAGTAACCATGTCCAAACAGTAGAGGTAATGACCCCTGTAATACCGGTTTACCTGACCAGTTACAGAGGTAAAAAACGTTACATCGATACCCAAATTAGCAATGAAGTAAAAAGTCGAATTGCAGATTCAGGGTTGGCATCATGAGATTGGTAAAACATAATAATAAAAGTATGTATTTTCATCTTTTAAATGGTATAACCTGAAGTGTAGTGACTGAATTTCTTCCGCCACTTCTTTTCAGCACCAGCTGATATGATATGGGCAAGCTATACTTACAGGATCATTAATTATACTCGTCCTAAGTGCCCTAAAAATGACCAACATAAAGCCTTTTTGTTTCTCATAGCTCTCATTGAAATGTTGAATATCATTTAGTTATTCTTCTTCTTCTCCTGTCGTGTAGGTTGTGTCAGACTTCTGACATGGCTTAATTAGATCATCAACTTAACGTGCTCTCTGAAGTCCGGAATCATAATTTTTTTTTTCGGGATCATCAGGTTGTCACAGCCCTGCAATGTCGTAACCAAACTATGAACACATAATATTCACAACATCTTTGTTTTTATAATACCTCAAAATTGAAGAACCTGCAGAGGGACAAGGTACAATTCTTTATCCAAAATTTTTCACAGACTCTACCACCTCTAAAAAATAATTCACCATAAATTATAATAAGCCGGTCAAGTAAAATAAATCCTGGAAAAATAGAATAGAATTTTATTGAACATTGTGCTTTCCTGCTATCGTTTTGTCGTAGCAAACAAGATTACGTGCACTACGGAAGTTTTTCCGGGAAAAGCTGTAATTTCCAACAGGTAAACTGAACTGACTGCGGTAAAGCGTTCGGCCATTTTCCGACAAAAACTGAACGAGAAGTTTGCCATTTCATTTTAAAGATATTTAAACCCAGTTATTTAACTACTGAAAAAGGTTTTTATTTCGAATCCGAATATCTCTACTTTATTTTTAATTTGTTCGTCTGCAAATAATAAGACTAACTTTAGTGGGAAAGGAGAGTCCATAAAAAGAAAAATATAATAATAATATTAGCAACCTGATAAGATATCTAATACTTAATTAATTTCTGTCACATGTTGATATTGAAAGAAAGAAAGAAAAAATATTCATTTGGTCCTAAAATAGAATGATATATTGCGTGTTGTTTTAACATAGACTTTAATGCTAAAGCAACTCTCTCTAATTTTTTGTTCTGTTTGCTACATTTTTAAGCATCTACCTACGCCTAGTCATTGACCAGTATTGATTGATTATACAAAAACATTATAACTACGACAAACTTAGAATTAGTTTTTATATGACAGGTTTTGAGAAAAATATTACAAGCTAAGGCTGAGTTGCATCACCTTACTTTAACCGCAACTGTAACTTTAACCGGTGTTTTTTGTATGATGTTAGACAGACTTTTGACGTTTGTTACCTAGTTAAAGTAAGATGGCAACTCAGCCTAACGCCCGTATTCACAAACATTACTATGAGGTCTCAAAGTGCGCGTGGACGCACAGGGTCGCAATCTAACCAATCACAGAGCTCTATTCAACGCTGTGCGTTCGATTTGCTGCTTTACTTAAGCAAGTATCGTTTATGAATACAGGTGTAAGGGTTTAAATTGTGCGTGATTCTACGAACGATGCCGCGAGCAAAAACTAGTGCTAAATAATGTGGGTGTATGAAACAAGGCTAATCATTATTCATTGGTACCCTCAGACGTTATGTCGGTGTTGTCATAATAGAAACGCAAATTGGTCGCTCGGGATGTACAAAATATTAGCCCTAATAAGGCCTCAGCCTCGAATTTAGCGGACAGCGGGGCGGCAGCGGTAGCGGCGCGGGAGCGGCAGGATCTTATGCTTAAAATCAAATAGACCGGTTCTCGAAAACAGCGGCGCGGGAGCGGGCAACGAGCGGGCAGCGCACTCCTTCTTTTGCCCACAATAAATCGAGCGTTAGGAATAAATTTGAATCGAAATAAAATTGTCGCCGTTGTTCAGGACATTTCGTTTGCGAATAAAAACAAATATCTCGACAACACAACCCCGAACACAACACTTCGCCGCTAAAGCGCCGCGCGAGCTGCGCGCTTATTTCGAGAACGGGTCTGCGTTGCCCGCCCCGCTCCCGCGCCGCCGCCGCTCCCGCTCCGCTGCCCGCTAAATTCGAGGCTGAGGCCTTAGATGTCGGCCATATTAGTTCGGCTGGCGTATTTGACTCTACTCATCTGACTTAACTTCGTGTGTAGAGTGTGTGATGAAAACCTTCATCATTATCATCATTTCAGCCACAGGACGTCCACTGCTGAACATAATATGCCTCCCCCATTGATTTCCAGCTGGCTCGATAGGTAGCGACCTGCATCCGCCTTCCTTTATGAGGTACGCTGCCTTTTCCGATACATGGCTTCCACACCAGAACCTTGCTGCCCGCAGAGACTTGAATGACACTTGCCTTAAGTAAGCGCCTACTTCAATATAAAACGCAATATTGCGGTTGTAGGAAGCTTGTAGGAACCGGTTAGTAGGTAGATAGATATGTGACAGTTATGTGATATTTTTCAACAAATAAGCATCAACAAACAACCCAATTGGAAAATCTGTAACTTGATACTAACAACAAGAGTCTTCAGTTTGATTCACTTCGTAAAAGGTATTCAATTTAACAGTCTACGACATGACAATTAGTAGTGCCTGAGTTCCTTGTGCTGCTTCTTCTCAGCACTGGCCCATTTATTGACCCGAAGTAGTGGTAAGCCTTAAGGTAGCCTTTCACACTAAACGTCACAGACGCAGCGTCTATAACTTTGGTCTTGTGCCACTAACGCCCCGTCACTAACTCGCTTCGAACGGCTACCTTTTAGACCAAAGCTAAAGACGCTGCGTCTGTGACGTTTAGTTCGAAAGGCTGCCTTTAAAAGCCTACTTGCAAAAATTATGAAAAAAAGCTCCAGACTTG